CAAACAGACAATCTATGCGGAGTTTTTGTGTGTTCGTGTGTCTACTCATTCCCTCACACATCTAGATAACAGTACGTACCCACACAGCCGGATATTTAACCGGTTCTTTTATGTGGTCCGACACTACCCGATGTTTTAACCGGCTCTTTGGTGACACACACAACCCGAAATTCTAACCGGTTCTTTAATATGGACCCACACACAACCCGATATTCTAACCGGTTCTTTTATGTGGTCCGACACTACCCGATGTTTTAACCGGCTCTTTGGTGACACACACAACCCGAAATTCTAACCGGTTCTTTAATATGGACCCACACACAACCCGATATTCTAACCGGTTCTTTTATGTGGTCCGACACTACTCGAAGTTTTAACCGGCTCTTTGGTGACACACACAACCCGATATTCTAACCGGTTCCTTAATATGAACCCACACACAACCCGATATTCTAACCGGTTCTTTAATACGGTCCGGCACACAGCCGGCTGATAGCCGGCCGTCACATCTACCGACGACCGGTCTTTAATTCCTCCGAATGAAGACAGCCATATTGCCGCAGTTCTAGGGCCCTAGCTTTCATGGCCCCGGTTAATAAAGGCGCCTGGCTGGGTGTATCTGGCCACATGATTGGTTGAAACAAGCCTTTGATTGCCTCTTGCTCGGTTTGATGGCCTTCATTTCGGTTGGACCACGTGACAAGATGGCGGACAGATGAGAGAAGACTCGGCTTTTACAGATCGGACCTGATTATTAATTACTGGGGTCCCCCGTAAGGTTTTGATCACTGTTTCCTCAACACTTCGGACATGATGGCCGTGTTTTTCAATCAATAAGACAAAAGACGTCAATAGGTTGAACATGACGTTTCTATTGATCTGTGGTCTATAACTGTACAATGTGGTCAGAATCTGACATACTGCAATTTTTCGACTAGTTATTTAAGTAAAGATTTATACATATTTATTTTATAAAGGTTTGACAAGAAAATTATACATTCGAAGAGATGATATAAAGTAATCGTGATTTTGAGCATTTAAAAAAAAAAATTAACATCCCCGGCGGGATTCGAACCCGCGACCTCTGGATTAGAAGTCCAGCGCGCTATCCCCTGCGCTACGGGGACCTATGTTTCTATAGCTAGACGCGGCTACTCGATGAACACAGCCAACATCCGCAATGGTCACGTATGATTGCATTCAAGCAAAATCAGATTATTTTATTTGGGTGGATAAATTTAAGCCACGATATAATTAACTTCATGCGGGCTATTAAATCCGATCAATATCCATGGATTATTGGATGGATTATACGATTAAACAGATAGTAAACGATGCGCAAACTAATGACTGCTTGTTATGTTTGTGAATCTCTGGTCCACTTCCACTTGAAGACTTGGTCAAATATGTAGTATGTAGTGTGACGTAGGTGTATGTAGTGTGACGTAGGTGTATGTAGTGTGACGTAGGTGTATGTAGTGTGACGTAGGTGTATGTAGTGTGACGTAGGTGTATGTAGTGTGACGTAGGTGTATGTAGTGTGACGTAAGTGTATGTAATGGGACGTAGATGTATGTAGTGTGACGTAGGTGTATGTAGTGTGACGTAAGTGTATGTAGTGTGACGTAGGTGTATGTAGTGTGACGTAAGTGTATGTAATGGGACGTAGATGTATGTAGTGTGACGTAGGTGTATGTAGTGTGACGTAGGTGTATGTAGTGTGACGTAAGTGTATGTATGTGACGTAGGTGTATGTATGTGACGTAGGTGTATGTAATGGGACGTAGGTGTATGTAGTGTGACGTAAGTGTATGTAGTGTGACGTAAGTGTATGTAGTGTGACGTAGGTGTATGTAGTGTGACGTAGGTGTATGTAGTGTGACGTAAGTGTATGTAGTGTGACGTAAGTGTATGTAGTGTGACGTAAGTGTATGTAGTGTGACGTAAGTGTATGTAGTGTGACGTAGGTGTATGTAGTGTGACGTAGGTGTATGTAGTGTGACGTAGGTGTATGTAGTGTGACGTAAGTGTATGTAGTGTGACGTAAGTGTATGTAGTGTGACGTAAGTGTATGTAGTGTGACGTAAGTGTATGTAGTGTGACGTAAGTGTATGTAGTGTGACGTAGGTGTATGTAGTGTGACGTAGGTGTATGTAGTGTGACGTAAGTGTATGTAGTGTGACGTAAGTGTATGTAGTGTGACGTAAGTGTATGTAGTGTGACGTAGGTGTATGTAGTGTGACGTAGGTGTATGTAGTGTGACGTAAGTGTATGTAGTGTGACGTAAGTGTATGTAGTGTGACGTAAGTGTATGTAGTGTGACGTAAGTGTATGTAGTGTGACGTAAGTGTATGTAGTGTGACGTAGGTGTATGTAGTGTGACGTAGGTGTATGTAGTGTGACGTAGGTGTATGTAGTGTGACGTAAGTGTATGTAGTGTGACGTAAGTGTATGTAGTGTGACGTAAGTGTATGTAATGGGACGTAGATGTATGTCGTTGGACGAAGTTGCTTGTATATGCAATTTGTTTTGGGCATGTGTAGATCATGATCGAAAAACGTCTTAGGAAAAATTTACAGTAAGAAAACATCTGAAAAAGTCGCAGAAAAAAAGTCACAGAGAAAAGTAACTAGAAAAAGTTACATGGGAGTAATTACAGCAAAAAAAAAACAACTTAGGAAAATGTTACTAACAAAATTTACATAAAAACTACACCGGAAAAAAAGGAAAACGCTAAGTGAGAAGAAACAGAAAATCGTTAGAGGAAAAAACAGTGACAAAAGACAAATCTCAACGGAAAAGTTTGGCTCTTAAATGTGAAGATAACAAGACAATATTAAACTGCAAAGCTTGTGATTATTTTCCTTAGAATTTTTTTTTTTTCATTTGACTTCTGAGTCTTTTCTTCTTTCAGTCGGAAAGAATTCTGTTTGCAACATTTTTACAAGCGCTAGAATGCTAACCCGAAAGCCTCGAGTTCGAATCAGGGTACAAGACAGTAGAACGACCATGAGTCCACTCAGCTCTGATGGGTACCTTACTCACGTTAGAGAAAGTAAGGAGGATGGAAATAGTGCTGACCACACCATCTCTTTATATGCCAAAGTGAACTCTACTTCGCTTGCCCCATGGACCGCAGGAACCAATTTTTAACCCTTTCACATTTGAACTTAGAGCACTCCCTTAAGTAAATTAACAAACAAGTGCATAGTTGACATAAAGTATATATGTATATTTAAATTCAGCCAAACTAGCCCATCGTCTTACTATTGTATGCCGGGATAATGTTACTTTTTCGGCGTACAATTTCAATGTAAAAAAAAAAAAGAATCTCAATTTTTTTTTCCTAACCTTTGCCTTTTTAGTACGACGCGATCGATTTGACCTTTTATTGATCTGCTGCCTATCAATATTTACCTCAACACGTCGTGTCGTGTGTGGACTAGAGTTCAAAGGGACCCGACATGCAGATTGAATCAGCCGCGGCTTCTTAACAGGTTCTACAAAGTGAACTCCGAACTTTATTAAAATACTAGCAACAGGCCCGTGTATAGCCGAGACAAAGAAAATATTCCTGATAACTTTTAGACTTCAACTATGCTCATTTCGAGCTGTTTTAGTAAAATTATTTCATGGCTTATTTTCCCAATTAGGTGGTATTATTCTGAAGAACAATAGTTAATTGCTGCTTTAAATCATTAAATAATAGCAACTTTTACATTAATGAATAACATCAATTTTCATATGAATAAATAAAAATAGTCACATGCGCCTATTTATTTATCAATGACAACTGATATTAATGTCACAGTTTATTTTCAAAATTATTTGTGTTTAGATCGGAAAGTTATAGAAGTGTGTTGACAAACTTTAAGGTAATTTATGGAAACTCAGAAACCCTAAACAAATTAAGGGCATATTAATATACCCTTGTTTAGCAATAGTTGTCGACATAACGAATCGCATAACAGGGTTGTCTTGTCTTTGGTATATAGCTAATTTTGTTTCTCCAGAAATTGTGCTTACAACGCTCAAGTAGTTTGTAGCGAATACAATTTTTTGTGTTTTAAAGTTAACATACTGTAGTTTGCGAAATATAGACTACATTGGCTTCGAGCAAATAAGACGTTCTAATTACTTGGAAAAAAGAAATATTGAGGTAAATAAATCAGTGTAAGAAAACTTCTCATACGCAGGAATGAGAAAGTATACAATTACAGTGTTAATAAAATGTAGGTAGTATAAACTCCATGTTATGTGCTTTGTTGAAAGCTATGTGCCAAGTAAATAAATAATCTGTCCAAACACGGAATTCGTAAGTCCCCGTAGCGCAGGGGATAGCGCGCTGGACTTCTAATCCAGAGGTCGCGGGTTCGAATCCCGCCGGGGATGTTCCTTTTAGTATCGACATTTCCCGGATGTCGGACTGGGATTATCGTATACAAGCTAAGCCGTCCCGCGCATAGCACACACCGCTATTTAGTTGTTTTACTTTCTACTTTTCAGTAATTCATAATTTGTGAATTCGACAGTACCAATGCTGCCACTGAAAATATTTTGCTTTACATTTAAAACACTATCAGTAGCTTGTGAAGGACAATAATCCTCATTGTCCGATTCCCCCCTCCCCTGGTTAAAGCAGCCGTCCGTGACAATAGTTTACAGGCGACAATGCAGAACTAGTTACCTCCCCTTAGTTTCAAAAACTAAATTATCTGCCCCTAATAGCCGTCACTAAATCGACCCGGCTCTAACCTTGGTATTTTATTATTGTAGACAGCTTAGACGATAAGACTTGTCTCTGGCTCTATCTCTAGTTAACTTCCTCACAGGTACACATCCGCTATACATCCACAACACGGTAAACAATGAGTATACAAGGGACTTAACTACAATATACACAATTCAAGGGACGTAATGATTTTTAACAATAACATAGCGTAACAGCTGTAATCTTCCCAAGAATGAAAAATTAAACTGAGCAAAATTTTTTTTTCCAGAATGGCATCGCAGGCCCGTTCTGGTACGCTGTGGGGATCATGTTCAACATCTTTGTGTTTCCCATCCTTTCCGTGCAGTTCAAGACTAAGGCCCCAGGTGCTAAAACGTATCTCCAGGTGAGTTTGGTGGTGGGCGGGGTTAGGTGAGTTGTCAGGTGGAGGGCGGGGGTAGGTGAGTTGTCTGGTGGAGGGCGGGGGTTAGGTGAGTTGTCAGGTGGTGGGCGGGTTAGGTGAGTTGTCAGGTGGAGGGTAGGGTTAGGTGAGTTGTCAGGTGGTGGGCGGGGTTAGGTGAGTTGTCAGGTGGTGGGCGGGGTTAGGTGAGTTGTCTGGTGGAGGGCGGGGTTAGGTGAGTTGTCAGGTGGAGGGCGGGGTTAGGTGAGTTGTCTGGTGGTGGGCGGGGTTAGGTGAGTTGTCAGGTAGAGGGTAGGGTTAGGTGAGTTGTCAGGTGGAGGGCGGTGTCAGGTGAGTTGTCTGGTGGAGGGCGGGGTTAGGTGAGTTGTCAGGTGGAGGGCGGTCGCAGGTGAGTTGTCAGGTGGAGGGCGGGGTTAGGTGAGTTGTCAGGTGGAGGGCGGGGTTAGGTGAGTTGTCAGGTGAAGGGCGGGGTTAGGTGAGTTGTCTGGTGGTGGGTGGGGTCAGGTGAGTTGTCTGGTGGTGGGCGGGGTTAGGTGAGTTGTCAGGTGGAGGGCGGGGTTAGGTGAGTTGTCAGGTAGAGGGCGGGGTTAGGTGAGTTGTCTGGTGGGGGGTGGGGTTAGGTGAGTTGTCTGGTGGTGGGCGGGGTTAGGTGAGTTGTCTGGTGGTGGGCGGGGTTAGGTGAGTTGTCTGGTGGTGGGCGGGGTTAGGTGAGTTGTCTGGTGGTGGGCGGGTTTAGGTGAGTTGTCAGGTAGAGGGCGGGGTTAGGTGAGTTGTCTGGTGGAGGGCGGGGTTAGGTGAGTTGTCTGGTGGTGGGCGGGTTTAGGTGAGTTGTCAGGTAGAGGGCGGGGTTAGGTGAGTTGTCTGGTGGGGGGTGGGGTTAGGTGAGTTGTCTGGTGGAGGGCGGGGTTAGGTGAGTTGTCTGGTGGGGGGCGGGGTTAGGTGAGTTCTGGAATGACAGACATCACATCGCAAGATAGGGGAATGTGTCTAAGATGTGTGTTATCACCCTCCCCTAGCTACGCCACTGGTACAGGGTGCTAACATAACCAAATACCACCCAACCTACTGACGTTAGCTAGGGACAGCATCTCATCTAGTAGACAACTCCAAAATAAAACACTTGCTGCCTTGTAGTTTGTTCTTGGTTGGACAAAGGCTATGGAAGCAAATCCAAAAAGAAAAGCAGGCTGAAATCGGAGTCAATGGTCTATATGGTGCATAATAGGTTGACACGTATACTTAATTGTGTTTGGCGTAATCCCTTCCAACACTAAAATGAAGAACGAAGAAGAAGTGACGCCATTACGTACATGTAATGTAGGAAAACCTGAAAAAAGAACAGTCCCTAGGTCACAGAAACAGGTGGACTCTAGCTCACCTGCCCCATAGACCTTTTGATTTTTAAAGAAAACTTTACTTTAGTGACTCCACTGCTTACATGTAATGTAGAAAACCTGGAAACAGATCAGTATGTTATTGTTTTTGGTCAAAGTAAACATAAAAAAGGTCTTGGGGCATTAACGGTGGCTTCAAAAAGTATGGTGTGCGACGATGGGGCATCATTTAGTTGGTAACACCAAGGCTAATTTTAAAAGAAAATCGTTAAATACAGCACCGAGCACCGCACAACACCATCCACCATACGCTACAGCACCGGTTGACACACGACCTACTTACGCCACCATTTATATTGGGGTAATTGTATTTTTCATCAAACCAGAACCCAGCGTTGTGTAAACAGCTTGTGTACAAACGTCCACAAGTGTACACGTGTACTTAAAAACTGTACACCAGGGACACGGACGAGTGGTTGGGGTAATCCAAAACCTAATCGCCGTTAACTTTCACGGTGACGTCATGCATTGTTTGAGTGAAGATTGTATTGATTGACATTCAGGGACGTTAACTCTCCGGGTCCTTGACTTGGTAACATGAACTCCACCAACTTGCGATGGCTGCATCTATTTCCCATGTTTGCGAGGAGTGGAATAATTGGTGGTAGGGGGAGGGGGGCATGGGAGAGGGGTTTTAAGGTGAGAAGAATTTGATACAACTTCCTATTCGATGAAACACTATTTAAAGCAACTTTATTTTAGCACTAGCGCTTACGGGTATATTGGACTCGCCACATACGGGCACTTTAGACTCGCCACATACGGGTACATTAGACTCGCCACATACGGGTACATTAGACTCGCCACATACGTGTACATTAGACTCGCCATATACGGGTACATTTGACTCGCCACATACGGGTACATTAGACTCGCCACATACGGGTACATTCGACTCGCCACATACGGGTACATTCGACTCGCCACATACGGGTACATTAGACTCGTCACATACGGGTACATTAGACTCGCCACATACGGGTACATTTGACTCGCCACATACGGGTACATTTGACTCGCCACATACGGGTACATTGACACATACGGGTATATTGGACTCGCCACATACGGGTACATTTGACTCGCCACATACGGATACATTAGACTCGCCACATACGGGTACATTAGACTCGCCACATACGGGTACATTTGACTCGTCACATACGGGTACATTAGACTCGCCACATACGGGTACATTAGACTCGCCACATACGGATACATTAAACTCGCCACATACGGGTACATTAGACTCGCCACATACGGGTACATTTGACTCGCCACATACGGGTACATTTGACTCGCCACATACGGGTACATTGACACATACGGGTATATTGGACTCGCCACATACGGGTACATTTGACTCGCCACATACGGATACATTAAACTCGCCACATACGGGTACATTAGACTCGCCACATACGGGTATATTTGATTCGCCACATACAGGTACATTTGACTCATACACATACATTATATGGTTGATGGATTCAAGGTTTTGTTACTATTGGCTCTACGTTAAAGGAGATTGTGAACAGTTGAGGGACACGACGCGTGTGTTTCCCTGACTTGAGTCTAGTGGAGATTTGCTAACACTATCCATTCGTCAACGCTAACCTTAGCTTCAGCTAAGTCTAATTGACACTGAGATACCTTAACGCTAACACTAGCGTTAGCTAACTATAGTGAACACTAAGATTTCTTAACGCTAATCCTAGCTTCAGCTAAGTCTAATGGACACTAAGATTTCTAAACGTTAACCCTTGCTTCAGCAAAGTCTACATAACATTGATATGTTCCAACTCTATCCATAGCTTCATAAAAGTTCACTATTCGTTGAGTTAGTTAAATAAACATCGTGACCACTCTTGTTGAATTTAATACTTAAACTTAAAAACTTAAAACTGGAGTTGCTAAAAAATTAACATTTAATTGAAATCGCGGAAATTAATTTTCATGACAAACGGCAAAGCTTCAAAACCTAGCTTCAGCTAAGCCTAATGGACACTAGGATTTCTTATCGATAACCCTATCTTCAGCTAACTTTAATGGACACTAAGATTTATTAACGCTATTTCGGGTTTAGCTAGGTCTACAGAACATTGAGCTGTGCCAACTTTAGCCATAGCTTCAGAAAAGTTTTACTATTCACTGATTTAGTTAACTAACCACGGTGACCACTCTTGCTGAATTTAAAAATATATCTTTAAAAACTTAAACCGAAATTGCTACAAAATTAATATTAAATTGAAAACGCGAAAATTAATTTTCACGACAAACGACGCAGGCCTGTAAATAAGGATCGATGATTTTTTTATGCTGGCAATTTTCCTTAAAGTCTAAAAGCCCGGGGAGGAATCTGTGTGGATAATTACTCCAGCCCCGGGCTAGACACTTCCAGTAGAGGGGCTTTGTTGGTCCTCAGCCCGTAGTTCCTGTGATTTTAACAACTCCAACATTGAGGAGCCTTTCTTACGGAGGGTTGGGGGGGTTTTGTTGGTCCTCAGCCCGTAGTTCCTGTGATTTTAACAACTCCAACATAGAGGAGCCTTTCTTACGGAGGGTTGGGGGGGTTTTGTTGGTTAGTACACATTTGGAGGTAGATGTTTTATCGTTGTGCGTGTGTTTGTTTGTGTATGTTTGTACGTGTGTTTATGTGTTTGCGTGTGTGTGCACGAGTGTGTATTTGTATGTGTGTGCATGCGTGTGTGTGTGTATATATATATATATATATATAGATATATATGTGTGTGTGTGTGTGTGTGTTGGGAATGAAGACCAAGGGCGGGCTAAGGATATGGTACATCCTCCGGTATCTTGTGTACCAAATTAGGGTAAGGGTAATAAAACAGTGACACTAAGAAAAAGGCTCCATTGCAGACAAGAAGGCTTATGGTGCAGACAATAACGGCTTTTTTAGAGATAGTGAGTTGCGAACAGTGTCCGGCTGTCCTTGTTTACACTGGTTATAGCCAGACACTCATCAGATCGGGGCGGATTCGAACACAGCTCAAATAATTCTGTACAAATCATATTCATTTAGTCTATTTTGTGCGGTGTGGAAGTATTGAGAACGTGGTCCAGAGGGTTGAGGGGAGGGAGGTGGGCACTAGTACTAGAATCTCAAGCATAGGTGCCTGGTAGAAACAGAAATTGCTAAACGCAGCCAAATAACCAAAAGGACCAAGAGAGGCTAACCGCAAACCAATAAAAAAATAAGCACTAAATATTAACCAAATACTTATGCCAAAAAAAAATAATAATCGTGTCATCAGAACAGGTAATTTGCTAATGTAAGTAGTCGATAATTTCATTTAATGTTGTCAACAGTGTGATTCGTACTGCGTAATTTAATGGTGAAACTGGCGGTATTTAGTCAGACAACGCCGGTCTATGTTTGGTAATGACAGGGTATCGATACAAATCACTCATAAGTGTCTGGCGTATCGATTGATTTAAAGCATCGATAAATCAGCTTTTCTTGTTTGGGACTAAATCTTCGTTAATGACTCTTTGACGCGGGTGACTCCTTGGTACAAATGACGCATTGACCGACGTTCGGTGACTTTTTTACTGTAAACTATTGACTATTGATTTTACCCTAGTGAGGATAACTAGTGACTCTTTGACTCCTCTAGTCAGTGACTCCTGACAATCATCCAGTGACTCATTACTTTTGGCGTTGAGTGACTTATTAAGCTCAACAGTGAGAGAGAGAGTGACTGATAACTAATCACTGTCATCAGTTGTGCGTTATGCCAAGCAGTCACTGACCCCATTCTCCATTACAGATCGTGTCAAGGTCGCTAATTAAACCCTAAACCACCATTACACCCGTAACCCATCATCACATCAGATCTGAAAACACACATTAATTTCATAGTCATGTAAACATTTATACAACACCAAAGTCATAAACATTTTGCAATTATTTTTTTTAAATACAAACTTTTTGCCCTTTAAATATAAAAAGGTTTGCCGTTGTTTTTAAAAAATAAATAACATTTTGCTAATCAAAAATATAAACTTTGTGCCATTAAAAAATACAAACTTAGTGCCGTTCAAAAAAACAAAGGTTGCCGGTTTTTTTTTTAAAGAATAACATTTTACCATTAAAAAATACAAACTTAGTGCTATTTGATGCAATAATTGTACCATTTAGAATACAACATGTGTAAGATATAAAAATAAAAGTTCATGTAATAAAAAAAAAGTTATGCCATTTTAAAAAATTCAAGCTTTGTGCCATTTAATACAATCATTATACCATTTAAAATACAAAATGTGTGTGATATAAAAATACAAACTTCATGTAATTAAAAAAACGTTAATAAAATATAAATATCCACAGATCATCAAAGCAAGATTCGGCAAAAGAACACACACCGTGTTTTGCTTCTTCGCCATCTTGACCAATCTCGTCATTACAATTGGAGTTTTGTTGGCGGGCAAGGCGACCATTCAGGTAACAAGGCAGCGCAATAGCGTTATTTTTTTATTTTTTGAGGGGGGGGGTGCAAGTAATAAATAACACTGAATTACCCTTAGGGTGAGTGTTTTTGTGGGAGGGGGGGGGGGGGGGGGTGCAAGTAATAAAAAACACTGAATTACCTTAGGGTGAGTGTGTATGGGGGGGGGGGGGGTAGTTCACCATGTTGGGTAGGGTAGTATTTAGTAATGTTATATAATACTGCATTCGTGTATATTAATTTTGATGTTCGAAAAATGTCTGCTTTCTCTAATTGATTGGATAAGTAGACTGACAAAACAGAATTGCCCATTATTTTACTCGACATAATTATGTGTAATTGTTTCTAATAAACCTGACACAGAAAATGTATTTTACAAAGATGTTTTGGGGTTCAGAAAAACAAACATCTATTTTGCTAAGCTTTTTTGATCAACATTTGTCAAGAAATCTACTGGACCAAACTGTCTGGGTATTGAAATGCAAACAAACTAATTTACTAACAAATTTTGGGTTTAAGGGTACAGAAAATCTAGTTCACTAAGTTATAAGTGTTTGGTAGTGAGGATTATCTACTTTACTAAATTATTTATTTGGGAGTGTACTTAGCTATTTCACTCTCTGGTGTAGAAAATCTATTTCACAAGGCTGATTGTGTTTGGTTTTACAGAAATCTATTTTACAAAAGTAATTGTGGTTGATAGTGTACAAAAACTATTTTACTAAAGTGGTAGCATTTGGTATATTTAAAAAAAAACTACGTTACTAACGTAATTTTGTTTGTTATTGTAGAAAACCAATTTACTAAATTAGTTGTGTTTAGTATTGTAATAAAATATATTTTTACCAAAGTAGCTGTGTTTGGTATTGTAAAAAATCTATTTTTACCAAAGTAGCTGTGTCTCGTAGTGTAGAAAATCTATTTTACTAAGCCTTGCGTCTTTGTTAACTATCGACTGGTAAACTTCAAGCGCAGACAGTGTGTGTGTGTGTGTGCGTGTGTGTGCGTGTGTTTGTGCGTGGTACAAACATGGCGTAGCACAGTGTCCCTGACCTTCAAGGAACCAGTTCAAACTAGGCTAATGAAGATGACTTAGGTCGCCCCAAGATTTGTTGAGATTGTTGTACTGCCGCAGGATATTGCGCCAAGTTCGACACCCATCCCCCACCCTCTCCCGCCCACCCCCGCCTCCCTTACTTGACACCCATCCCCCACCCTCCCTCCCTTACCCGACACCCATCCCCACCCCCTCTCGCCCACCCCCTCCTCCCTTACTCGACACCCATCCCCACCCTCTCTCCCTTACTCGACACCCATCCCCACCCCCTCCCGCCTACCCCCTCCTCCCTTACCCGACACCCTTCCCCCACCCTCCCTGCCTCACCCCAGTTAGTTCCCTCCCAAATCCCTCCACACAATTACTCATCCACTTCGCTGAGCCTTGTCTAAAGCACAGACGGTTAAATGGTGTTTTAGCCACATAGCCTGTTGATGTTTTAGCCACATAGCCTGTTGTTTTAGTCACATAGCCTGTTGATGTTTTAGCCACATAGCCTGTTGATGTTTTAGCCACATAGCCTGTTGATGTTTTAGCCACATAGCCTGTTGTTTTAGCCACATAGCCTGTTGATGTTTTAGCCACATAGCCTGTTGATGTTTTAGCCACATAGCCTGTTGATGTTTTAGCCACATAGCCTGTTGATGTTTTAGCCACATAGCCTGTTGATGTTTTAGCCACATAGCCTGTTGATGTTTTAGCCACATAGCCTGTTGATGTTTTAGCCACATAGCCTGTTGATGTTTTAGCCACATAGCCTGTTGATGTTTTAGCCACATAGTCTGTTGATGTTTTAGCCATATAGTCTGTTGATGTTTTAACCTCAAAACGTGTTACCCAACATGTTTTTTAAAATTTACAAGTCGGTCAATGACTGAGTTGGCTAAATAGTGGGAAAATACAAACTACCTCTTATAATTCGTTTTTAAAACCGTATTTTTTTTTCATTAAAAAAATCCTATTAATAACTCTTGTTAGCTTGTATTTTGTTTCAAATACTTATGGTATAATAAATGTTTGAATTAATTGGGTAATGAAACTTGCTGATATTAATTTATTTCCTTAATTTTAATCTTTTTTTTTTAAATAATTTTTATTTTAACTTTATATTTTGCTCAACGTTTCGTCTTTTAAATTTCAAGTAATAATCCGGTTCTTTTTAAAAATCTGTTAAAGTTTTAAAACCTTTAATAATGTTTTCGGTACATATTATTTAAATAATTTGTCACAAAATTTAATGACCATCTAGTTGTAATTACTTTATTAGAATGTTGAAGCTGCATCTAAATTAATTAAATGATTAGAATGTTGAAGTTCTAATTTAAGTAATTTTTTTAAAATAATAAGTCCATCAAACTTGAGTAACTTATTAGAATGTTGAAGCTCTATCTAATTTAAATAAATTATAAGATTGTTGAAGTTCTATCTAATTTAAATAAATTATTAGAATGTTGAAGTTCTATCGAATTTAAATAAATTATTAGAATGTTGAAGTTCTATCGAATTTAAATAAATTATTAGAATGTTGAAGTTCTATCGAATTTATGTAAATTAATAGACCGTTTATGTTCTGCCAAATTTGAGTAAATTATTAGAAAATTCAAGCTTTATCTTATTTAAATAAATTATTATAATGTTGAAGTTGTATTTAATTTAAAACTATATTTCCAGTCGTTAACCAAAGACGCATCAGATGAGTTTGTGGTCCTCATAATGGCGGCCTTATTCGGGTCCTATTCACTGATTGGTGGGCTGGGCACGACCTTCTACGTCTCCTACTTCAACGCCTGCCTCGTCTTCATCCTCTTCATCGTCTTCGTCGTCAAGATCCTACACAACAAAGACTCGGAGTTCGGGACGATTGGAAATACGGAGAAGATGTTCCAGTCGATAACATGCATCCACGGGCCGAACGACAATGCTAATAACAGGTAGGTTGGTCATGAGGGGAGGTGATTGTGGGGGGGGGGGGGTTAAGGTAGGGTGGTCATAGTGGTGGGAGGGGGGTGGGGTATAAGGTTTTATGGTAGGGTTTTCATGGTGGTGGGGGTCATAGTGGGGTGGGGGGTGAGGGTTTTAGGTAACGTTGTCATGGGGGTGGGGGTCATAGTGGGGTGGGGGTGAGGGTTTTAGGTAGGGTGGTCATGGTGGGGTGGTGGGGGTGCGGGTTTAAGGTAGAGTTGTCATAGTAAGGTGGGGGTTCGGGGTAGAAGGGTTTTAGGTATGGTGATTGTTGTGGGGTGGGGGATGAGGGATTTTAGGTAGTGGCTATAGTGGGGTGGGGGATAAGGGTTTAAGGTAGGGTGGTCATAATGGGGTGGGGAAGGGTTATGGGGGCTTAAGGTAGGGTGGCACGCGCAGGTTTCAAGATATCCTGCACGGAAGGTTTTAGTTTGATGGCATCTTGTACGTGAATTATATATGTGGAACTTCTGCGTCGCTATGGTTTGAAATCGGTACATACGTTTACATATATTTATGGATACATACGTTGACATTCCAACCCGTAGCACCTACAGCTATAAATTTCTCCAACGTACAATAAAACTTACATCCCCCATAAACATACAGTTGCATTTACCTCTACGTTAGCCCCCTCCCCCTCCACTTTCATCCAAACATAACACACATCAATCCCAAACGTACGACAATCACTCTACATATTGCCACACTCATTCCACATAAATACTACACCATCCCGCACCGTTCCTAGAGGTGCTCATGTATTCCGTGTTTTTATTAACATCGCCTTGCACGCTTTGATGAAATAAATTAGGTAGACCTGTGATGTAGGTGAACATGGAATTCGGCTATAAGACTCATCACTGATTCGGGAGAATAACTTTTATTCGGCTTTTCTTTGAATGTTGTTGACAAATTAATCCAAATATAAATGAGAAAGTCAGTTAGTGTTGAATGTTTATTTAGCTATTTTATTTAAGTAGCCATGCATAGTTTTGCATATTTTTTAGCTATACTAGCTATAGCTGCATGTTGATCAAACCATGCTAGCTAGTCCTGGATGCTTAGATACAAAAAAATAGTTTAAAATTTCTATTAGGTTTATGCTTGTGCGAGATTAAGGGGGGGGGGGGGGGGCTGGGAAGGGGGAGAGGGGGAAGAGGGGGCAATAACCACGCAGGTCTTTTAGCTTATGAATCAGCTTCAAGCAATATGGTGTTTGACATTTTTTTAACTTAAAAAAAAATCCTTATATTTAATGGCCATGATAAAAAATACGTCAAAAAATCAATGTTTATAATTTTAGCGAAATGCCTACATGGAAGTTGATTAATTCTTGTAACGTTTATGTTAAAAACTTTCTGTTGAGGCTTTTGAAAAATAATTAATCTTAGATTGAAATTACCTATATTTTTTATTTACTTATATAATTACAAATGTAAATGTATATTAAATAGTTTTTGTGCCTGTTTTCTGTTCTATTGAACAGAATGTTGAATTCATGCTTATTTCTGTTTGGTTTAGCGTCCTACTGTAGTGAACAGAATTTATATTTCTGTTTGGTTTAGCTTCCTTTTATTGTGAACAGTAAGCCAAATTTATATTTATATTTTGGTTTAGCGTCCAACTGTAGTAAACAGAATGCCAAATTTATATTTCTGTTTGGTTTAGCTTCCTGGTGTAGTGACCAAATTTATAATTCTGTTTTGGTTTAGTTTCCTGTTATTGTTACCATATTAATATTTCTGTTTGGTTTAGTTTCCTGACGTTCAGGTCCTGGGGTGCCTTCATGTACGGCATCATTGAGATCTTCGTCTCGTCTGCTGTGACGTATTGTGACCAGGCGTCCTGGCAGAGCAGAATTGCCGCCAAACCAGTGCAGGTGGGTCACGTGTGTGGGTCATGTATGTGGGTCATGTGGGTGGGTCACATGTGTGGGTCACGTGTTGGTCACGTGTGGGTCACGTGTGTAGGTCACTTGTGGGTCACGTGTGGGTCACGTAGGGGTCACTTGTGGGTCACGTAGGGGTCACATGTGGTCACGTGTGGGTCATGTGTGGGTCACGTGGTCTGAGCTTAGGGTCTGCTTTTTTGGTCGTTAGGGCTTTGGTTGTACACAACTTTTCACAATTCAGTGGATTGTCATTACGTCATCGTTGAAATAAATTAAAATAAGAAAATATAAGCAGGGGGGAGTGGGTGGAGGGGAGGTAGGGGGTAGAGCAGGAGAGGGTGTGATTGGTTACTCCAGTCCTAATTTCAAACCCTGGGTAAATGAACCTCGTAAGCAGGGGTCAGCAGCCAACTAGGAAAGACAACTCCAAAATAAAAAAATAAAAACAGTTACTTATAGATAAAAAAAATATTTAAAATTAGTCTCAAAGCTCCTTATATAAAGGGTAAGTCTCGGTATGTTTAATGTTAAAAGCGTAGCAATTAATAGAAACCTCAGTTAATCACTAATAATTGATTCATAGTTGACCGAACTACGTCACACACAATAGAGACGAATTTTAGATGTAACCATAACTGTAAGCTCAAGCCAAATCGTAAACATGCCTATAATTAATATCCTAAACTCTAAATTCTTTTTGTTGTCCATGTAGGGTGTGTGGGGATTTATCCTGGCCGGATTTATCTGGTTCTCTATCCCAAATGTCATGGCGACCACTACAGGGATGGCGTATTTAGTGCTGAGTTCAGACAACGGCTCACACTTCTTGGACCCAGGACAGATAGATGAAGGTAGGTCATCTGGTCAGATAGATGAAGGTAGGTCATCTGGTCAGATAGATGAAGGTAGGTCATCTGGTCAGATAGATGAAGGTAGGTCATCAGGTCAGATAGATGAAGGTAGGTCATCTGGTCAGATAGATGAAGGTAGGTCATCTGGTCAGATAGATGAAGGTAGGTCATCTGGTCAGATAGATGAAGGTAGGTCATCTGGTCAGATAGATGAAGGTAGGTCATCAGGTCAGATAGATGAAGGTAGGTCATCTGGTCAGATAGATGAAAGTAGGTCATCTGGTCAGATAGATGAAAGTAGGTCATCTGGTCAGATAGATGAAAGTAGGTCATCTGGTCAGATAGATGAAGGTAGGTCATCTGGTCAGATAGATGAAGGTAGGTCATCTGGTCAGATAGATGAAGGTAGGTCATCTGGTCAGATAGATGAAGGTAGGTCATCTGGTCAGATAGATGAAGGTAGGTCATCTGGTCAGATAGATGAAGGTAGGTCATCTGGTCAGATAGATGAAGGTAGGTCATCAGGTCAGATAGATGAAGGTAGGTCATCTGGTCAGATAGATGAAGTAGGTCACCTGGTTAGATTAATGAAGGTAGGTCGCCTGGTTAGATTAATGAAGGTAGGTCATTAAGTCAGACTGATGAAGGTAGGTCACCTGAATAGATTAATGAAGGTAGGTCACCTGGTTTGATTAATGAAGGTAGGTCACCTGGTTATATTGACGAAGGTAGGTCACCTGGTTATATTGACGAAGGTAGGTCACCTGGTTATATTGACGAAGTTAGGTCACCTGGTTATATTGACGAAGGTAGGTCATCTGGTTATATTGATGAAGGTAGGTCATCTGGTTATATTGACGAAGGTAGGTCACCTGGTTATATTGACGAAGGTAGGTCACCTGGTTATATTGACGAAGGTAGGTCACCTGGTTATATTGACGAAGGTAGGTCACCTAGTTAGACACAGACGTGTACAGTGTCGAGGTGTTTAATAAGCTCGTGTTTACACGAACAGCAGTTGTTTTTTTATTTACATTTTGACAGAGGTTGTTGTTTTATTTTGGGACAACATGACTGTTGTAACCACAATATTTCCTCCAGGGTAAGGTCTTTTCATTTTTCGCTCTCCCTCTGTAATCTTGTGTATAAAACATGCCCGACCCTTGCAAAATGCTCTTTCCCGTCCACCACTAACTCTCGCCTCACTAAAGTATGGGATTAGCTAATTTCATTGATCTAAGGAGGGATGGGATGGCCTATCGGTAGAGCACTAGACTGCTAACCTGGAGGTCTCGAGATCGAATCCTAACTCAGGTTAGGGAAATTTAAGACAGCTGACCACCCTATCTCTTCATATGCTGAGGTCACGCAAACAGGTGAACTCTACCTCACTAGACCCATAGACCGTCAGGTTTGAAATGGAACTTTACTTACTATACATTGCTATTCGCATCATCGAATCCACATTCCAACGACTCTTTTATTACTGATCCCGAGTATTTTATGATATGGCATTACATCTTTTATTGCTGATCCTATTTTATACCTTGGCATTAAATCTTTTATTGCTCAGACTGGGTATTTTATACCTTGGCATTACATCTTTTATTGCTGATCCTAAGTATTTTATACCTTGGCATTACATCTGTTATTGCTCATCCTGAGTTTTTTTTATACCTTTGCATTACATCTTTTATTGCTCATCCTTGGTATTTTATACCTTGGAATTACATCTTTTATTGCTGATCCTATTTTATACCTTGGCATTACATCTTATTTGCTCATCCCTGGTATTTTATACCTTGGTATTACATCTTTTATTGGTGACCCTGAGTACTTTATACCTTGGCATTACATCTTTTATTGTTGATCCTGAGTATTTTATACATTGGGATTACATACGATACAGCAGAGTGCTAGAAACACGACCACAAGGTGTACAAATATCCCATTCCATCCCCAGGCTTGGTGACGCCCCTAATTGCTGAGAAAGTTCTAGGCTCAGCTGGTGGTATCCTGATCCTGACGATGGGTGCCATGGCTCTCATGTCTACTGGGTCTGGAGAGGTCATGGGTCTGTCATCTGTCATCGTGTATGACATCTTCCAGACATACATCAGGCCGTTCAGGTAAACTGTCTCACTGTGTTCTCACTAGTTCGTCTCACTGTGTTCTCACTAGTTCGTCTCACTGTGTTCTCACTAGTTAGTCTCACTGTGTTCTCACTAGTTAGTCTCACTGTGTTCTCACTAGTTAGTCTCACTAGTTAGTCTCACTGTGTTCTCACTAGTTAGTCTCACTGTGTTCTCACTAGTTAGTCTCACTGTGTTCTCACTAGTTAGTCTCACTGTGTTCTCACTAGTTAGTCTCACTAGTTAGTCTCACTGTGTTCTCACTAGTTAGTCTCACTGTGTTCTCACTAGTTAGTCTCACTAGTTAGTCTCACTGTGTTCTCACTAGTTAGTCTCACTGTGTTCTCACTAGTTAGTCTCACTATGTTCTCACTAGTTACGTTCTTGATGGATAGGGAACAGTGTACGTCAAGAAGTGGCATCAGTTGTTTTTTAATTTTCACAAAGGTAGAAATGGGAACTTCTTACAAATCATTAAACAGAAATGTATTTGTTGTAATCGCACATGTCACTAATTTCCAGGTCACTACAATCCATGTCAACATTATCATTGTCATCAATATCTATTTCTTAACATTCGTGTCACCACCATCCATGTCACCACAACCCATATCAACATCACTTATACTACAAAATCAACCAATGTCGCCACCACCCATGTCACCACCACCCATGTCGCCACCACCCATGTCATCACCACTCATGTCACCACCACTCATGTCACCACCACTCATGTCATCACCACTCATGTCATCACCACTCATGTCATCACCACTCATGTCATCACCACTAATGTCATCACCACTCATGTCATCACCACTCATGTCATCACCACTCATGTCACCACCACTCATGTCATCACCACTCATGTCATCACCACTCATGTCATCACCACTCATGTCATCACCACTAATGCCATCACCACTCATGTCATCACCACTCATGTCATCACCACTCATGTCACCACCACTCATGTCATCACCACTCTTGTCAGTTCACACTGTGCCACGACAACCACCATTGGCAACAGCACTGTTACATCACCCATGTCACCACTACCCATGTTACCACCACCCATGTCACCACCACTCATGTCACCACCACTCATGTCAACAATACTAATGTCACCACCACCCATGTCACCACCACTCATGTCAACAATACTAATGTCACCATCACCCATGTCACCACTACCCATGTTACCACCACCCATGTCACCACCACTCATGTCACCACCACTCATGTTACCACCACCCATGTCACCACCACTCATGTCACCACCACTCATGTCAACAATACTAATGTCACCATCACCCATGTCACCACCACCCATCTCACCACAATCCACGCGACATTCACCCATGTCACCACAACCCATATCACCACCACCCATGTCACCACAACCCATGTCACCACCACCCTTGTCACCACCCACCCATGTCACCACCACCCATATCACCACCCCTCACGTATCACCATCTACTCACCAGAGACAACCTCCAGCCCCACCACTGTGTCCTATGCGGCAAGACCAGAAAAGGCCTCCAACAATCCGCCAACAACTCACACCCGGACGGACACGAGCTCTGCGCATGCGTGGACGCCTCAAACTGCGGCGTCTGCGCAGAGGACCTGTTGAAGGCTAGAAACACGAGCCAGTACTACCTCAAGCAGCCGTACGCTTGCGGCACTCACGGCAGATTCCGGTAACTAGCCTGACCCCACGGGTTGAGTGGGCGCTTATTGATTAGCCGTACCCACTGCCTACTTTAGCTGATTGGTATAGAGAGCGTTAGTGTTAAGTAGTTGGTTTCTTTTTTCTTGTATTAGATGTAAAGCTGAAAGGTCGTCCATAATCACATGCATCTCTTCGGAGAGGGGTGGGCTGCACGTTTTTGGGTCTGTTTTCTGTTGTATTGAACAGAAAGTTAAATTCGTGCTTATTTCTGTTTAGTTTAGCTTCCTGCTGAGTTTCTTCCAGGCATCTATTGGTGGGGAGGGGGGGGGCGAAGCTGAAGAAAGTCTACCGCATCCCCCCCCCCCCCCCGAACGAAATGGAATTTATATAGAAAATATATACCTCTAACAGTGTATATATATACAAAATATACACTTTAACTAGTCCGCCTCCCCCTGTAGGAAATTTAAGTCCGCCCCCTTCCCTTTAAAGTTTTAGGCAACCCCCTCCCACCACATATAAAAATATATGAAAGAAACACTGCCTACAACTTAATTATATTACCTAGATTGATGATATGGTAAGGCGTGATTATGAGTCCACCCAGCTCTAATGTCTATCTCATACATTGGGAAAATTGCATAAGGGCGTAAAACAGACAACAATGTTACTGTATATGCCCAGGTTTAGTTCACCTACAGTATTGACCGAGTTGTTTGAGTGATTTTACTCTTATTTTTCTTTCCGGGATGTAAGGAAGGGAGGGGGTTAGACTTTTGTAGTGATGATGTATGGATGGGGTTAGTTGTTTGGTTTAAAGAGAATAGGATGGAGAAAATAAACATTTTATCATTCGTTAGTTATTACTTGGGAGGGGAGGGAACTGTGATGTCATTTATTTTTTAAAAAAAAATTGTCTAACTTTTTGTGACGATATATGGAAAGAGGAAGTTCTGAATGTCTTGTATTGGCGATTCCTTAATTTTTTATAGCAGGCCAAGACATAAATGAATGCTAATATTTTTTAAACACAATCTACTTTATTGTCTTTGTATTTTTTCGTCATTGTCTATTTATTACATAATCCACTTGCAATAATACACTTGCGCTAATCCACCCGTATCACCCCCCAGGGAGTACATGGACTTCCTGTTTGAGTTCAAGAACTGGTGTATCGTCTGGGTGACGGTGTGCATGGTGCCTCTGGGTCTGGTCGTCTTCCACTCTGGCATCAACCTGAACTGGATCTTCTACTCGGGGGCAACGGTCACCATCCCATGTTTTCCTCCTGTCGTCTTGTCCATTATATGGGTCAAGGCCACGGGGATAGGTCTTATAGCTGGTAGGTCAAGGTCTTATAGCCTGTAAACCAAGGTCTTATAGCTAGTACGTCAAGGTCTTGTAGCTGGTAGGTCAAGGTCTTGTAGATGGTAGGTCAAGGTCTTATAGCTGGTAGTTGAAGGTTTTATAGCTGGTAGATGTAGGTCTTATAGCTTATATGTGTAGGTCTTATAGCTTGTAGGTGAAGGTCTTATAGCTTGTAGTTGAGGTTTTATAGCTTGTAAGTGTATGGCTTAAAAGTAAAGGCCTTATAAGTAAAGTATGTGTTACTCCATAGTGTATTGGTGGTAGGTCAGGTTTGTGTGGATGGTGGTTGGTGCAGGTTGTTGTATTGGCTTTCTGTAAATTATTGATAGTTTTCTGGTGGCTGTTTGTTAAGCTTAATTAGTCAATATCGCTGTATTAAAATTGTATGTATGTATGCACGAATATCGTATGTTTGAATGGTGTGAAGTTGTATGTATGTATGCTGGAGTGTCGATTGGTGAGAAGTCATATGTAAATAGGCATATACATTTTCTTGAATGTAATATGAAAGGTACAGTTTAATGGTTAAGAATGGTTCCTATATTCAGGCAGCATCAGTGGACTGATTGGGGGCATTGCGGCCACACTGGCCACGGCCACCACATACCCGGGTGGCCTGGGCCACTTCCTGGAGAACACGGCCCAGGACTACACAATACTGGCAGGCAACGTCACAGGGTTCGCTGTCAGTCTGTCAGTGTGTATCATAGGCTCGTTGCTGACACACAGGATTAAAGGTAGGTCAGTGGGTCAATGGGTCAGTGGGTTAGTGAGTTCGTGGGTCGGTGTGTTAGTGTGTCAGTGTGAATCATAGGCTCGTTGTTGACACACAGGATTAAAGGTAGGTCAGCGGGTAGTAGGTCAGTGGGTCAGTGTGTTAGTGGGTCGATGGGTCAGTCTGTCAGTGTGTATCATAGGCTCGTTACTGACACACAGGATTAAAGGTAGGTCAGTGGGTCAATGGGTTAGTGAGTTCGTGGGTCGGTGTGTTAGTGTGTCAGTGTGAATCATAGGCTCGTTGTTGACACACAGGATTAAAGGTAGGTCAGCGGGTAGTAGGTCAGTGGGTCAGTGTGTTAGTGGGTCAATGGGTCAGTCTGTAAGTGTGTATCATAGGCTCGTTACTGACACACAGGATTAAAAGTAGGTCAGTGGGTCAATGGGTCAGTGGGTTAGTGGGTCGGTGTGTCTGTGTGTATCATAGGCTCGCTACTGACACAAATGATTAAGTGTGGGTTAGTCTGTCAGTCTGTCATTGACAGTCTGTAATTTCTCTAAGTCTCTATACCAGTGATGCCTTGTTGCATATTATACCATTCAGAACAAGGGGACTTATGTTTGGAGTACAGGTAACATCCAGCTTATATGTAACGTTGTATTACTGAAACTTCTAGGTCCCGCCGACGTGGAATTTGAATGGATGAAGATGTACGACATCGACAACCCTCTACAGCCTTGGGAGTTACTGTACAGGGAGGATATGAAGGTAATATGGGAGGTAGTGGGGGGGGTGGAGGTAATTTGGGAGGTAGTGGGAGGGATGGAGGTAATATGGGAGGTAGTGGGGGGATGGAGGTAATATGGGAGGTAGTGGGATGGAGGTAATATGGGAGGTAGTGGGATGGATGGAGGTAATATGGGAGGTAGTGGGGGTGGAGGTAATGTGGGAAGTAGTGGGGGGTGGAGGTAATGTGGTAGGTAGTAGGAGGGGTGGAGGTAATATGGGAGGTAGTGGGAGGGGTGGAGGTTATGTGGGATGTAATGGGAGGGTTGAAGGTAATATGGGAGGTAGAGGGTTGGGATGAAGGTAAGTAAGTAATATGGGAGGTAGAAGGGAGATATAAGGGTTAAACGGGAGGTAGAGGGAGGGTAATAATGGGGGATTAGGGAATATTTAGTGAAGGATTATGCTGGGGCTGTCAGGGCACCAACCTGGAGTCCGTATGTTTTAGGAGCCCCAAACGATAGTATATTTAATGCTCTTACAGAATTTTTAATTTGACTTGATAAATGCACGTATTATTGTTTAAAATCACTACCTTCCAAAAACAGCACACCTTAACTTAAGATAATCCCCCAAGAAAGAAGCGTACAATACAAACATACGATCTAATGTTTACATTAGCTGTCATCGCTTCCTTCTCGGACATTGTTTACTTAAATGAACTCTTCCTTCAAATAATAAAGAGGTTTTTTTTTGGAAATAAATATGATTGATCTCTTATTTAAAAAAAAAAGTTAAACTAAATTATACAATTTAGAGAATTAAGTTTATTCCGACACTTGTGATTATGACTGATTGAGCTAACAGCTAATTAGTTAATCTCTAATTGACCTGTGGTTTCAGGGCATGCAATACGATGAGCGGCCATCCTTCGACCAAATGAACACCGCCTTTAGGAAAGCCAAGCTAACGGCGTACTTCGCCGGTGGCGCCAGTATATTTTTGTTCGCCATTTTGATCCCAGGTGTCATGGCGGCCTACCCGGATATGAACCTGGCGAGGTTTGAGATGTGGTTAAACTTCACTCAGGTCAGTAGCTTTGTTGTTTTCTTTACTTCTCTAGCTTTTATCACAAGTAAAATTTTATTTGTGTAATCACTAACCAAATACTAAATTAAGAGTTATTGTTACTTTTGCCAAGATTTACCAGAATAAAAATTACTTCTCTAAAGTGTTCTCAAACATAGGCGTAGCGAGGGTGGGGCAGGGGTGCGCACCGAAACAGGTGACACTATTTAGGGGGCTGACACCAGGGCAAAAAAATGCAATGTGTACAGAAGAAAAATGCGTTTTTGCCAGGTCCATTAATGGTTAAAGTTTAATAGTCTTTAATGTACAAATTAAAAATTATTACACGATTGTGAGGGTGACACCATGACGTAAACGTGCTAACTAGAGAAAACGTTGCTACATCCAACTGTATAATTAACAAATTAAAGATAAGCATCATTGCTATTAAGTCTGCAGTGATTAAAGCTTATACACATACATATAAGCGTATGTGACATACATTTAAATTTTAGGCCCATGAAGGCCGACACAAACGCATACACACACACACACACACACACACACACACACATATATATATATATATATATATATATATATATATATATATATATATATATATATATATATATATATATATATATATATATATATATATATATTAGGACTTGACTTGTAATGGTTTTACTAGTTGAACAGAGTAGGTTTAGGTTTAAACAGAAATGAGACTTATGAGAATAATTTTTTTTGTTTTTTTTATTTCTTTAAAATGTTTCTATTTGCATCTCTCGTCCGCAGTCGTGGGCTGTAATAATGGCGATCATCGTCGTGTTCCTGCCGCCAACAGAGGAGATCATTCGCATCGTCAAACAATGTCGCAAAAACCGCAGCCCCGGGGTGAACGCCATCAAAAACGGCATGGCCAGGGACGGGCAGAAATGCCTGACCCTCGTCAAGTCCTCGTCTGCCCCGGAAGCCCACGAGCTGGTCGTCAAGGACGGGGTGGAGTACGCTGGAAGCAACAGCGACGTACTTCCGGTGGCGGTGTGAGCTTATCTCCCCCTGAGTGTTCGTCATGAAAGACTGGTTGCTCGCTTGAATATCGCGCGAACATTAAAAATCAGGACTTACAAAGGCCTCAGCGAATAGGGTTTAAATGATGTGATTTTTTTTTAAATCTAGTACACCATGTTATAATAATGCATTAATTTATTTAATGTGTTGTTAGTAGTTAAGTATAGCATTAAAATTGTTAGTAAATGTATAGATAATTTAATGTTTAACTGTAAAATTAACATTTATTGTCATGATAATTATACCACCCTCTGGATATATATATATACATATATATATATATATATATATATATATATATATATATATATATATATATATATATATATATATATATATATATATATATATATATTTATATCCTGTGGGTGCTCACATAAGCCTAAATATCTATATTTATACAAGTATAAATAGATTTGTTTACATGTGCATTATAATAGCTCATTTTCTATAGAATTTTCTTTTTCCTTAGATAAATGTGTCGCATCTACATTTAAAAAATACTTAAGTATGACATACGTGTTGACACTTGAAACCATAGGTAGCGTATGGAAGGTTATCGAAGTGTAATCGATCTGATTTCAAATCGATCAAATGTGTGTTGATTTCTTTTTTTTTTTTTTTTTGTTGTTGAAAGAACAGTATACTCCTCTTGTTGCCATTGATCACACTTTTTGCAGTCCCCTATATATCAAATGATTTTACTGATAGGATCACAAATTTATGTTTTTATTTCCAATATTTCACATAATTTGACTGGGTCGATCACATCATTGTTTTTGTAGTTCCCAATTGTTTACCTAATTTTTAAAAATTCACACAATTAAGTTACTAATATTTCACATAATTTTACTGGGTCAATCACATCATTATGTTTGTATGTCTTAATATTTTACTTCATTTTTAAAGATACACAAAATTATGTATGTAGTTACCAATATTTTACATAATTTCAAAGGTAGATTCACTTAATTATGTCTGTAGTTATTTATATTTTACATAATTTTAAATGTAGATTCACATAATTATGTATCTAGTTCCCAGAATCTCACATGGTTTTACATACATATGCTGGTAAGTTTCAACACTTGTATACTCTAAAAGATGGCTATGGAAATCCTGCATTAATTTAATGTATGTAATTATGTAAATACATCGCATCTAGTCCTCAAGAGTTTCTAGCTTAGTTTAAATGGATCACCAAACCTCGTTCCCGCGTGTGTTGATGTAGTGCTCAACAGTTGTAAGACACGTGATCGTTTTGAATATATTTTATACTGGTCCCTATCAAATGTAGACTCATACAGTAGGTTGTCCATGTTTTCTGTTTTACTTGCGTCTTCTTACATTAATTTTAACATACAGGAACCTAGACTTAGGCAGTTTCTTCCAGGCATCTTTGCCCCCTCCCCCCGAAGTAAGTCTACCGCCCCCCCCCCCCACCCCCCGAACGAAATGGAATTTATATAGAAAACATATACTTTTATATAGTTTTACCAGTGTTGTCCGCCGACCGGGAAAATGTAATCCGCCCCCCCCCCCCTCCGAAAATATCAAGTCCCCCCCCTTCTCGTTGAAAAAAGTCTGGAAGAAACACTGGACTTAGGTAAGATCAGGGGGTCGTCCAAGTTAGTTGACCACACATTATACGAGGGTGTGGAATCGATTCAACTACTGGAAGTATCGATACACTATAAAACACTAGAAAATTTGGTAGAACGCAGAGACCGATGTTATGTTTAGGTCTATCGCTGAATATTTCGCACTAACCCTAAGTTGATCCAAGCCCTAACTCTAAACCCTAACCCTAACTCTTGCCCTAACCCTGACCCTTATAGTAACTTAACACGGATCCTGTACAATATAGTTTTTTTACATTATTATTTATCAGGCTTTTTTCGATGAGTGAAGTTGTTTTATTCAGGGCTGTAGCGGGAATATTTTTTGTCAAACCACTAGCATGAAAGATGTTAACAGGCGTGCTTTTGTTATACAATAGTATAGGGGACATTTTATAACAGCATTTCTAGTCAATACGATCAATAACAGGCTTCATATTATGTAATGTAAATTAATAAAACAAAATTATTGGTGTCTAAATGAGGTTACCTTTTTTAAAATGTGTGCTCAACCCCCCCCCCCCAGCCAGACAATCTCAACGTCACAATTTCTTTAACCTACTCTCCCCTAATTTGCAGATTTATTTTGATTGATTTATTTTGTTGTTGTTGTTTTTAATTTGCTTTTATCTTTGCAAAGATCACATACAATTTTCATTTAGAATTATCGAACAATATCCTTCTAAAAAATTCAACGTATCCTCAAAAATCAATTATTTTTTTTGTGAAAGTTTTACTGTAACTAAAAGTGCAAGCCTTCTATCACTCTATCATTGCAAATCTGATAATCTAGTTCCCCCCCCCCCCTCCACCGCAGGAGTGTGACGTTAAACTGCGAGGTTAGAAAGGGTAACTATTTTTTTAAACGAACAACAAAGTCAGCACAAATATAACATTTATTTATTGATAATTATTTTTATATAAGCTAAAACAATGTTGACCTCTAAACAACAACTATAACATAAAACAACCTTATATTTGGATTTTAAATTTTGACCCTTTGTACAACTTTTTAAAAAATAACGTACTGTTGGTTTCCAATAAAATATTTTTTTATAAGATAAATGCAAGGCATATAAAAACGTGTATTAGTCCTATATCATATTTGTACAATGGTTTGATAAGTATGTACATTAGAACATAATCCATTATCGTACAACTGTAAATTATTAAACTGTTTTTATCTTACAAATTTAAATGAAGTAAAAATCCAACATAATGCAATATACATTTCCCCTAAGTATAGAGATTGTTTCAATTAGCCGTATACAAATAATAGTACAGTAAAGTATTATCAATAATCCGAGGATCTTCTTAATCCTAACCCAAACTAGCCCAATATATACCACATTTTTAAAAAAACATTTTAAAAAAATGTTTTTCATGTAATTTCTGTTTGCCTAGCGTTTTGATTTATTTCTTAGTGTGACAATATTTTAAGTAAGAACCAGGGGCGGAACTACAGTGCCGCCAGACCCCGCAATGCGGGGGGCCCACGCCATTTAGGGGCCCACGGCCGACCATAAAAAAAATTGTTATAGTTAAAAAAATGTTCTTGCATTTTTGACTTAATGTTTGTTTTGTAAAAAAGATTACCGTAGCTGTGGTTGGATTATCTTTATTCTATATACACCACCCCACGCTCTTTTTTCCTTCGTCTTTGAACCACTGTGAAAACCGAGTCCTCTTTCTCCTACAATGAAACTTATCAAAGATAAGCAAACGCTCAAATCACTTTCATGACTTATTTCCCTTTTTTAAATAGTCAAATAGTGATGCTCATAAGCCTCTTTTTAATAGATTTGTATTAAACAAATTAAAAAGAAATTACTTCTGTTTATTATTATTTGTTTATAAATTACTTGCTAAAGAATGACACTGTATAAAAAGAAAATGTATTTAAAATTAATAAAATAAATACAAAAAAACAAAAAAATAAACATGACACGAGAAACCATTTTTTATTTACAGAAAGATTTCGGGTTTTATATTCTTTTGACCAACATTTGATTAACGGTCTTACAGCAGAAATAATATAAAACTGATTTTCACAAAACTGACTAATGCACTTACACTCATGACATGATGTTGCAATTTGTTTAATTTAAAAAAACCCACGTATTTCTCATAACACGAACAGGCCAGCATGAATAAGTATCCTATGTTCGTATGTTGTGTTTGATTATATATATATATATATATATATATATATATATATATATATATATATATATATATATATATATATATATATATATATATATATAGGCCTATATATTTATATGGGGGGGGGGCTAAAAAAAATTTTGCGTGGTGGCCCCTTTTTTCTAGTTCCGCCACTGCTAAGAACGCAAGATGCAAGTAAAAAAAAATACGTGTAAAAATAAAAATACTACCTGTAAATTGTATTGTAAGTAGCAGAAATATGATGTAGCATTCACAGTTAGTTTATATTTTTTTAGATGTGATAGATTTCATAATCGATAAATGTTTTCACTATTGGTTTCCTTCACTCAACCAATATAACCTCTTCATTAACATAAAACACGCCCATTCTCTAAACCACGCCCATTTTATACAGCATGTAGATATTTGTTTACTGATACCAAACAATAAAATTTGAAAGAACTGTTTGATGGTTTTTGTCAATTTTTTTTTTTAAACTTGAGTTATGAGAAGCAAAAAAACTGTAAAGTGAATTCAATTATTAGGGATCGTAAATGTATTACATAACAGCATTGTGTACATTTTTTATAATACGAAAATACAGTATTTTCAAGCATTTAATATTATATATATATATATATATATATATATATATATATATATATATATATATATATATATATATATATATATAAATACACTATTTAATGTTATATAACATTTCATAGACAACTAATTCTAATGCTATAAAACATTGATTGGAGCCACCCCAGTGTATGTGATACTAATAACTTGGATAATTTAAATAGGACGGTAAAATATTTTGTTAGGGGAGACCACTAGACTAATCGGTTTTAAAAATATTTGCATGGTCAAAAATATTGTATTTAAAATAAAGCATTTGTGAGATTGTTATTTCTTTTTATACGTAAAATTATTGGATGAACAGACACATTTTGAAATAAAGAATGAAAAGAAGTAAATATTTTATATAAAATCGATATATTATACTCATCGACACCATATAAAACTATAATATTAGTGTGAATCTATCTGATTTTGATTTTAGCTAATTTACTTAAGAATTTCGAATCACTGGTAACCATAGTTAGCAACACAACAACGTAAAGAACATATTACACTGCATTGGCCACCTGGCCCGCCTAATCTAACCGACACATCCCCTTTCATCACACCCTCCCCCCCCCCCCTAAACCCCATGACCCCATCGTCCCCACAACCCCGCCCCTGTGTTGAAATACTATGTTAAATACTGAAGATTATGTATTATCCAAATACATTTCTAACAACATTAATCTGACATATATAAATTAAAAAATAAAATTCTAAAATTGACTACTTGAACATTTCTAGAAAATTAAAAGTGTGTGTGTCATTTCATTAAGAAAGAGTACAATGCTAAGAAAATAAACTAGAGTCTAGATAGATTGTATCTAGATTTAGAAAATCTATTGAAATACCTTCTTGATTGAAAATAGAAAGACAAAATGTCGATAGCTCTAGACGAGCTTAAACAAGATATAGCAGAGTATAAGCTCTTACACAAGTCTGCTAAACGACCAAAACTTCAGGATAATCTTTTACAAGAAATTGATAGACTTAAAAGAGACATCCTAAGTTTGGAAGCAAAAGCTGCCTTAGCAACAAAAGTTATTGAGGAAAAGACATGCACAGCAGAATGTTAAGCAGGATATGAAGAAAACATAACTAATTATGCCTGAGACCAGTCAGACAAATATGTGAAGCTGTATCTGACTCTTTGTGGTCTTGGTACTATAACAGAGCAAAATATACAGACAAGTTTTACTAACACGCAGTGGCGTCGCTAGGGCGGGTGTCACCCCCCCCCCAGAAAAAAAGTATATATAAACATTATATATATATATATATATATATATATATATATATATATATATATATATATATATGCATGTATGTAGGTATGTATGTGTGTGTGTGTTGTCCTACATAGGCCTATAATATAAATATATGCCACATATGCGTTCATGTTTAAATGGCTTTAGTGTCTGCGCGAAATGGTCTGCTGTCTATAATATAAAAAAAATTATGTCTTGATAGTCAACATTAAGGAAACTGTTATAAAGTTATCCCTCAGTGTGTGAACTATGTTATTAGTAAATCATACTCGAGCTGTTTTCTTGATCATTAATCATAAACTTAATTTCCCAATCATTAATCATAATCTTAATTTCCCAATCATTCATAACGGAGCTGTTTTCTTAATTATTCATACTGGAAGTATATTGTCTTGAAAATCACCAAGATCTAGATTGACTCGATCATTGACCAAGACAAATGCTACGCTTCCATAGTCATTTACAATAGACGCGCTCCACTCCTAATTGTAGGTTTTGTAGGTGGATATTTCTTGTTAAGCTGGTAAGACTGGATTTAGCATTAACAATATCTATATATATAATTCTCTTCCCTACCCGCCCCCCCCCCCCCACATGGTCTGGTGAGCTGTGGTTCACGCTAAATGTTTACAATCGTAGAGCTGGGTTTAGTGACGGCTATTAGGGGCAGATAATTTAGTTTGAAACTATTTTAAACTTAGGGGAGATAACTAAGAGGAGGCTGCTTTCACGAGGGGGGGGGTGTAGGGTAGAAGTTGGGGCAAAGGAGGGTGGGGGTATATCGTCTTTAACGACCTACTGATAGTGTTTGAAAGCAGTGAATAGTCATGTTGATGACGTGTTTTGTTCTCCTTCAGTTTGAAACCATAGAAGAATTTTTTTTTAAATATGTTTTCAAATTATATGTAGAATTTTAATGGAAGTGAGTTTGGTCATCTATTTGTAACGGCAAGTGTATAAGCAAGATTTCGATTTGCACCCCCCTTCAGACTGTTAATTTATTTTTCCAACCCATTTTGGCGTCCCCTAAGTTCGGCGCCTGGGGACATATGTCCCCCCCCCCGCCTCCCCCTCGCTACGCCTCTGCTCTCCACACACTCGCAATGGCCAACAAAAATATATCTTCGCCCCTTCCGTGTAAATTATTTGATTCTATGCGCCTAGCTTTACAAAACTGAATGAAATCTTGACGCTTTCTCAAATCTCACCCCATTATACTAATTTTCATAAATTCCTCTTTCAGCCTTGTAGTTTTTAGTTAGTGGCCCTTCAAGTCATCTTCAAGTGTGAATAAAACAGAACAATTTATATATTAAGTGAGGAGCAAAACCTGCTAAGTCACATCTGACTGATTGTGAGGAAATCGACTTTAAAACTTTTTTCGTGTTAACTAACCTTATGATTATTTTATATTTTACTGTTGTTATACCTTTATAAACAAAAATTAGTATACAGCTTTAATTGACAGTTAATTAAGAAGGCTATCAGAATAACTCAGTTTTTTTTTAAAACGTACTAAAACAGAATGTCATCTCCAAAAAGTAAAATACAGAAAGAGCTTTCGTTTTAGTATAAACTTGCTTTATAATACAGCTAATGGTTTCGTATTTAAATTATATTTTTATAATTATTCCAAAATTTAAAAATAAATTATTAACCGCAAAATTTTATTATAGAATTAGTAATATTTGTATTGTATAGGACTACAAATAATGATTTTGAAAATAATTTTGCTAATATTGAACTTATTTATATTTTTAGTACTTTTAAAAACATTTTGGCAGAAGTTTGTTCCCATTGTGAAAATAAAAGTATCAATGGGAAGTAATGAGTTAAGAAGTTTTTATAAAAGTAGTTTAAATGAACAGTTACTTGTTTCACTTCAGATTATGTATTTCATAAATGTTTTTAAATGCTAGATCTGCTGATACAGTCTTCACAGATAAGTTTGTTGTCCTTAAACACCTGCTATAAATCAGAATACTTTCATGAATAGTTTCATGAACCGATCCTTCTCTATGTCGTTCTAATATAAAGTGTCAATAATAATTATAAAACTTTAATTAAGCAGGTGTTATCTATATAGAAATGGGCCTGAAAACTAAGTTTTTTTTCTAATCCATTAGTTTCCATTAAAGTATTGACACGCGAAATAAGATGAGTATCTTTAGCAACATAGAGTTGGTTAGGTAAATGGTTTGCTACCTTTTTGAGGTATTTGAGTGAAAAAATGTTGTCTAAAAGATGTTGAGATGTTACCAGTATTGTGTGTCCACCACATATTGTATCATAAAAGTTTTATTGTTATAGGCGTCACACTTCACGCAAGCAGACTGTAAACACTAACCTCAGCTTTCTATTTCAGGGTTCTTCCACTGTTGACGTTTTGTCATGGTGATGTCATCACTAACATTTTACTTTGATAACCCAGACACAGAACGTGGCTGCATTGTTCTGAACATTTACTGCTGTGAGCTATGTGTCTTGATCATTTATTTAACAGCTATGTAGTCTTAAGCATTTATTTTATAGAGTTATTGTGTCTTAACCATTCATCATAGTTATTTGTCTTGATAATTCATTATAGAGCTATGTTGTCTTAAACATTCATCATAGATATTGTCTTGATCATTCATTATACAGCTATTTTTTCTTAAGCATTCACAATGACGTTTACTAAACGTTCCTAGTCATTTTGTTCTTCCTTTGACACTAGTACACACCTCCTCTAGCACTAGACCACACCTCCCTTAGCACTAACCACACCTCCTGTAGCACTAGTCCACACCTCCCCTAGCACTAGTCTACTCCTCCCCTAACACTAGACCAAACCTCCCCTAGCACTAGACCACGCCTACAATAGCACTAGACCACGCCTACCCTAGCTCATCCACACCTCCCCTAGCACGTCCACACCTCCTCTAGCACTAGTCTACTCCTCCCCTAACACTAGTCCACACCTCCCCTAACACTAGTCCACACCTCCCCTAGCACTAGTCTACTCCTCCCCTAACACTAGACCAAACCTCCCCTAGCACTAGACCACGCCTACCCTAGCTCATCCACACCTCCCCTAACACTAGACCAAACCTCCCCTAACACTAGTCCACACCTCCCCTAGCACTAGTCTACTCCTCCCCTAACACTAGACCAAACCTCCCCTAGCTCTAGACCACGCCTACCCTATCTCATCCACACCTCCCCTAGCACGTCCACACCTCCTCTAGCACTAGACCGCACATCTCCTTAGACTCTCCTAACACTAAACCGCATTTTAGTTAATGCAGCAAATGTAATCACAGTTACTGCTAAACAGTTTAAAAAGGCAGCCTCAAAATAAAGGGGAAATATTATTATTTTAAACAACGATGTATTAACTGAGCTACTCCCCCTAGTCCATAATTTTATGAGGCAGGGGTTTTATTAACTATACTAGCCATCGGTACCCGTTTCACGTGAATTATAGGCCAATATATTTTAAAATGTTGAACTTGTTTGAGAAAAATAATTTATAAAATAGTTATTGGTCAAAACGCAATGTGCATTACTACACGCTGAACGATATTACTAACAAAGCAAAGAAATAACTAATTAGCTAAAAATCCGACACATTTAACATAACACAGAGGCACACACTGATTAAGTGACTTAAATGATTCCGTTAAAAACTCGGCTATTCCACGGTATTCTTCTTGTTTTTAAAGTGATTTATTTTTATTAGGTTTTTATGAATAGATCTATAGATTTAAATGAAATAGTTCATTTCTTCATCGGTAACCATACCATATTAAATGCACTCTCTGATTAAGAAACTTAAAATTAAGAGACTTAAAAGATTTCTTTTAAAACCCGGCTGTTCAATTGTAGTTATGTTGTTTTTAGTAGATAGTCTAAATCCAGATCTTAGCGTCTACGTCTAGTTTTTCCGTAGAGCTAGTCTAGATCTAGAATCTAGATCTAGATCTATATCTAGAATTTAAATAGATAAAGTAAAAACTTATAAAAGTTTAGGCCGAGAAAATCGTATTGTATACATTTCATAGCGTACGTAGAATCTAGCTCTAAATCATATTTGAATGAAATAGTTCATTCCTTTATTTCATTCTAAACTCGGAAGATGACGTCATCAGTTTCGTGCTCTTTTTTTAGTGTAAACAATAAGCGACGTCATTGTTAAATGCGGTCTTGTAACAAGTATAAACATTTTTCCGGTTGCATAATTAAAATTGTTTTTCTACATTCGAATACGCCTTTATTTTTATTTTTTTTTCGTCTTTAAATAAAATTGTGGTTATACATTTAAAACATCTAACATATTATTTTCAACCAAAGTCCGTATAAAGTTCTTCATATATCACTGCAGATTCTGATGTGATATCCGGCGAAAATATTTTGCGGACAGAGAGAGAGAGAGAGAAGTGCGCACATGGGCTTTTATATATTAGGATTATTTTGGTTCAAACGACAGCGTGTCTTATAAAAACTGATAAAGCAGGTTCGATATTATACAGGTAGAATAGCTACGCCAAAGCTAACCCTTGTCTTAACTATAGTCTATCTTATCCGCTAATCCTTAACATAACCGTAATCTTGATAATGACAGAGAGCGTAATCCTAATCTTGTTTCCAAGATGAGTTAGTTTTGATTATGATTAGTTATTCACTATGTCTAAACATAGATTTAACAATGCAGTAACAGTAAAAACAATATTTTTCCACTTGCGGTTTCGTGAAAACTAAACAAACGTATAACTCCCTTTTCGGAAAAATAAAAATTAATTTCATTAACATTTAATTCAACGGCGATGATTAAACAACCGTTTCCGATTTCGTTTTCGTTGGCGGAGAGATTCTTCTGTCAAGGCAATCCTGATTAGAGTCCAGTACACGTCTGCTCCCGTTGGTCAGCCTATGAGATCCTTGTGGGCCTGTATGATCCAGCATGTCCATCTTCTCATCAAGGTCCTCGCTGGACAGCGAGCGATCGTCCAGGCTGTCCTCGACACTGCGGCGCGCGCGAGCCTGGTGCGAACAGGCGTCTGCGCATGCCTGCTGCCGGCGCTTCTTCCGGACGCGAAGCTGCAGGACGATGGCCTTGACCTCCTCGAAGGGCGTGACCACCGCGGTGATGACGGTCATGATGAAGCACCAGACGGAGATGACCGTGGTCCAGGACCGGAACTCTGATGACGTCAGTACCTGGAACCGTAAAATTTTGGAAAAGTCGGTGTTGTAAAAAGTTTGAGGATTTTTATTCACCGACTAGGGTTGGATATTTTTTTTTTTGTTTCACAAACAGTTGAACCCATTTTTTTTTTACATTTTTTTTCTTGATTACCAATACGCTTTAAAAAAACAATCACTAATACTAAATTATTAATTTATTTCTTATACTATGACCAGTCAATGAGAAATCAAGGATTTATTTTGTGTGTTATGGTTATAAAGAAAAAGCATTTGATAGAAGGTCCGAAGTAAAATTTACCAACTTGGTTCGCTTCCAGAGGCGTAGCGACCCCTCCCGGCGCCCGGGGACAAACTTTTTTCAATTTGGCTACCCCCCCCCCCCCCCATATATATTTTTATATTTATAATTCAAAGCTGCAGCTAAAGTGAGATTTTAATTTTTTTCCAACCCATTTTGGCGCCCCTAGGGTCGGCGCCCGGGACATATGTTTCCCGTCCCGTCCCGTCCCCCCCCCCCCCCCGTCGCTACGCTTCTGTTCGCTTAACAGAAAATATAATTTTGTGTACGAAATGCGACCAACATGTCTACATTACAAACGAGGCTGGGTTGATATGTTTGTAATGGGCTCTTTGCAGAGTTTCTTCCAGGCAAGTCTTCGGTGGGTGGGGGGGGGGGGGAGGATAGCGCCGCCCCCCCCCCCCCCCTGAACGAAATGGAATTTAAATAGAAAACATATACTTTTACCAGTGACCACCCCCCCCCCCCGGAAAATGTTGAAGACTTGCGACACCTAAAGAGACACATTTTTTGTAGACACCAACTTCTTCGTTCTTAATTTTAGTGTTGGAAGGGATCCCCCTCCAACACAATTAAGGCTACGTGTCAACTGGGTTATACGCCATTGAGGCCATTGACTCCGATTTCAGCCTGCTTTTCTTGTTGGATTTGCTTCCATAGCCTTTGTCCAACCGAGAACAAACTACAAGGTTTAGCAACCTTGAGCTTTACCGACTCGACCACGCCGACCCCTCACATAAAGGGCTAAAGACACACATTTTTTTTGTCGACACCAACCTGAAGACTTGCGACACCTAAAGACACATATTTTTTTGTAGACACCAACTTGAAGACTTGCGACACCTAAAGACACACGTTTTTTGTATACACCAACCTGAAGACTTGCGACACCTAAAGACACACGTTTTTTGTATACACCAACCTGAAGACTTGCGACACCTAAAGACACACGTTTTTTGTAGACACCAACCTGAAGACTTGCGACACCTAAAGACACACGTATTTTGTAGACACCAACCTGAAGACTTGCGACACCTAAAGACACACGTTTTTTTGTAGACACCAACCTGAAGACTTGCGACACCTAAAGACATGTTTTTTGTAGACACCTACCTGAAGACTTGCGACACCTAAAGACACACGTATTTTGTAGACACCAACCTGAAGACTTGCGACACCTAAAGACACACATTTTTTGTAGACACCAACCTGAAGACTTGCCATTGATCCCGGGATAAGGACGATGAAGATGAAAACAAAACTGACGACGCCGATAATGGCGGCTAGACGGCCGTGTCTCGAGACGTGTTCCAGCTGGGTGTAGCTGGGTCGGGTCTGGCCGTCCAAGACCTCGGGGTACTCCTCCACTGGAAAGGTCAAGGTCACTTTGTTACAGGATTTTTCAAGAGTTCAAAGGTCAGGTGTTACGCGGTGACCAATAGGGCTGGTAAGTAGGTCACCAACCAGTTTTATGGCTCATGCAGGTTTTATTGAGCCGTAGAACTGGTTGGTGACCTACTTACCAGCCCTATAGGTCAAAGGACAGGTGTTATTGTCCTACTGCCTACAGTTCTAATAAAATAAAAGGTTTACTAAATACAGTACTAATGTCATTAGTCTAACGAACACATGTCCCATCAACCACATCCCTATTAACAAAGTCTTTTTAGAAAAGTCTTACTAACAAAATTCTTATTGACAAAAGATTGTAAATTGAAGTCCTTTTGATGAAAAAACCTAATTATTTTGCTATAAGTCCTATTGACAATAGTCCTTTTAATAAAAGTCCTATTGTCAAAAGTCCGACTCGCAAATTGTCCTTTTAACAAGTGCCATTAATAAAAGTCCTATTCACAAAAGTCATATTGACAAAAGTTCTTTTAGAAAAAATCCTATTGACAAAATGTCCTATTGATAAAATTTTCTACTGACAAAAGTTCTACTGACTAAATGTCCTACTTACAAATGTCCTATAGACAAAATGTCCTACTTGCAACTGTCCTATTGACAAAAAGTTCTATCGACAAAATTTCCTATGACAAAATTTCCTATTGACAAATTTTCTGTTGACAAAAGAAAGCACTACTAAAAAGTTATATCGACAAAATGCCCTATGACAAAATGTCCTATTAGTAAAAAGTCCTGTTGACAAAAAGTCATATTGACAAAATGTCCTATCGGCAAAAAGTCATATTTACAAAATGTCCTATTGACAAAATGTCCTATTGACAAAAGAAATTACTACTAAAAAGATATATCGACAAAATGTCCTAATGAAAAAATGTCTTATTGACAAAATGTTCTTTTGACAAAAAGTCCTGTTGACAAAATGTCCTATTGACAAAATGCCCCACTGACCAAATTTCCTATTGACAAAATGTTCTATTAACAAAATGTCCTACTGACAAAATGTCCTATTGACAAAATGTCCTATTGACCAAATGTCCTATTAACAAAATGTCGTATTGACCAAATGTCCTATTGACCAAATGTCCTATTGACCAAATATCCTATTACCGAACTGTTGGCTCCAGGGGTGGAGCGGATTGTCGATGTCCCGCATCTTGCTCCACTCCCTATCCTCGTCCTCCGGGCCGGCGATCTGGTGCGTGGACAGCGAGACCAGCACCGTCAAGGTCAAGCTGACCAGCATGCTGATGCCAGAGCCGGCCACCACGGCGTACAGCTCGGCCGTGCAGACGAGGAACCCGCCCTCGCCCTTGTAGTACACGTAGGCCACCAGGAGGTCAGAGGTCACGCCGCAGACCAGACCAGAGAGGCAGCCTGGTTGGGAGGGGTTGTAGTGGGGAGAGGGGGTGAGATATGTGACCACTGATTTAGTGAGTAGTAGAGGTTGTAGTAGACATTGGACAATGAGTTGAGTAGTTTGGCGAAGTGAATCACAGGTGAGTTAATCTTAAAAACACATCAGAAGAAGCATAACACTCAAACTGTATTTTTAATAGCAAATATGTTTTCAAAGTAAAAATTATCATATATGATATTATTTAAAGTATATACTAGTGATTAACAAAAGTTGTAAGTTTTTGTCATGTTCACAAAAAATCACAGAACAAAAAGATCTTGCAACAAAACGTACCTATGATCACCATACTAACAGATCCTACAGATCATATTATCACCATACTAACAGATCATACAAACAACATACCTACGATCATTCCCTTGCTGGTGGTACGACTCCAGATGATGCACAGAATGACCCCCGGGAAACTGGGGACGGTGAGGATGGTTCCGACTAGCAGCGTCCAGTTCAGATTGACACCGGAAGCGTTGACCGCTAGCCCGAACGGAACCAGACAAATCGTGACCCATAGTACACACCAGTTCTTGAATTCTATTAGAGAATCCTGGAAAAGTGCACAATATATATATATATATATATATATATATATATGTGTGGTGTGTGAGTGTGTGCGTGTGTGGGTGTGTTTGTGTGTAAATATAATTTATTTATTCACATATATCAAATATTATATATATATATATATATATATATATATATAATTTATATATATATAATTTATATATATATATATATATATATATATATATATATATATTTATATATATATATATATATACATATATATATATATATATATATATATATACATATATATATACATATATATATATATATATATATATATATATATATATATATATATATATATATATATATATATATATATATATATATATATATATATATTTGACCTGTGTTACATATTATATAATGATAGCTTAATGCGCTTATCACTAAGCCAATTAATACTTAAAGTTTTGAATTTGTATTTAATATCAGATAAATGTGTTTACAATGAGTATTATTGAGTGTCAAGATTTGCCTCCCCGTTCGGAAGCAACTTATTGTTAATGCTCAAAATCATCAAAAGATTAGAGATTAAATTAAGTAACTAAATATAACATATATGATTAAAACGAATTGGAATCTTTATAGAAAACAAAGAGAACATTTTCAAAAAACACAAGGGCATCATAATTGTTTGAATATCAAAAGGAGCGAATATGTGGCGATCTCAATATAAATTTGAATATAAGCAAGGAGCTAAAATACATCTACTTAGTAAAGAAACTCCCTCCAACATAATAAACAATCCACCCCCTACCCCAACTTAGTAAAGGAACCCCCTTAGTAAATGACCCCCACCCCAAACATAGTAAATGAGACCCCTACCACCAAATTATTAAAGGACCCCCCCCCCCCCAACTTAGTAAAGAAAATACCCCCACCCTCCATTTTAGTAAAGGAAATACCCCCCCCCCCAAAAAAAAATTAGTTAATGAAATACCCCCCACCCCAAGCATAGTAAAGGAAATACCGCCCCCAACTTAGTAAACTTAGTAAAGGAATTACCCCCCTCCCAACTTAGTAAAGTAAATACCCCCCACCCCCATTTGTATAGGAAATACCCCACATCATGACCACTATTCCAATCCCAATAGGAGCAGTTTCATACTCAATTTGCATTACTTATGTTTTGATTGCTCAAGCTTGAATACATCAACCTACAGTTGGTCATATATATATATATATATATATATATATATATATATATATATATATATATATATATATATATATATATATATATATACATATATATATATACATATATTTTTTTGGGGTTGTTGTAGTTACCTGGTAGGTCCGGAAGTTGCCGTGGTACCTGCACTGATGCTGGGAGAATTTCCCTGGGTTCTTCGAACTGTTGCTGCTCCTCTGGATGTCCGCCTTACATTCGGAGCAAGTCAGGGCCGGGGGGCACTTGCATACAGGGGGGTGGGGCGATGACACGCTGGGCTGTGGGGTGAGGTTGGGGGTTGTGTGGGGAAGGGTGGGTGCCGTGGGCGTGTGGGCTGTAGAGTGCCTGCCATTGTTGTGTTTCGGTAGCCCGCAAAATACGCAGTGAGTTGGAGGGAGTTTAAACCTGAAATCAGCAAGACAAGGATATCCGCGAGGTAAAATTATGAAATCCGCGAAGTAAAAGTATGAAATCCGCGAAGTAACATGATGATATCCGCGAGGTAAAATTATGAAATCCGCGAAGTAAAATGAATCATTGTTCTTTTTTAAAATGTTGGTTAGTGACGTCATTTAGTGTCCGGTAACAAGAGCAAATAACCCCAGGCGTCATCGAATTATCGACCTTGTTCTATTACAGGTCATCTTATCACTAGCTTTTTGCGTCGCTAGGGGGATGCAGGGGGTGGTCAGCCCGGGCTGAAAATCTTTATCTCCAACAGAGATAAAAAGTGTCGGGGAAACGGAAACGGTACTCTTTGGTTGGCAGCTGTTCTGGTATCAATATTTCACATGGAATCAATAATTTTTAAAAAAGTTTGAGCTGATTTGATGTATTCTTTCAAAATAACTAGTTTGAAGTTTTTTATATAAAATTTTCGAAAATAGTTTTTGACCTAAAAAGAAGAAAGTAGGTTTTTACCTCAGAGGCGGAAAATTTTTACCTGAATGATCAAATGTAATTTTTTACCTAAAATATAGAAGTTTTACCTCATTGGCCGAATATGATTTTTTTACCTGGGGGGTAGAAGTTTTGACCTAAATGGCCGAATGTAAATGTTTACCGGAAAGGCCTAATGTAGGTTTGGTAGATGAGTTTTGTCCTAAATGGCCGAATGTAGAAGTATACCTGAAAGGCCTAATATAGGTTTGGTAGATGAGTTTTGTCCTAAATGGCCGAATGTAGAAGTTTACCTGAATTGCCTAATATAGGTTTGGTAGATGAGTTTTGTCCTAAATGGCCGAATGTAGATGTTTACCTGAAAGGCCTAATATAGGTTTGGTAGATGTCGTAGACTATGATGGAACAGACACCCATGATCTCGCCTGAACCGGTGGACATGGTCAGCATGGTCAACATGGTCAACATCATGATCCCACCCTGCTTGCCCAGTGCAAGTTGGGACATGTAGGCAGACACGATACCTGGGGACAAATACATGATACGATACCTGGGGTCAAAAGCAAGATACGATACCTGGGGTCAAATACAAGATACGATACATAGAGTAGAAATAAAAGAAACGATACATGGGGTAAAATACAGTACCTGGGACAGAAATACAAGATTCGATACCATATAGTAGAAATTTGATACCTGGGGTAAAATACAAGATACAAACATGGGGTGAAATACAAGATACGATACCTGAGGTAGAAATACAAGAAACGATACCTGGGGTGAAATACAAGATACAATACCTGGGGTGAAATACAAGATACGATACCTGGGGTAGAAATACAATAAACGATACCTGAGGTGAAATACAAAACACGATACCTGGGGTTAAATACAAGATACGATACCTAGGGTAGAAATACATGATACGATACCTGGGGTGAAATACAAGATACGATACCTGAGGTAGAGATACAATATACGATACCTAGGGTAGAAATACAAGATACGATACCTGGGGTTGAAAAACTAGATACGATACCAGGGGTAGAAATACATGCTACGATACTGAGGTAGAAAATTAGACACGATACCAGGATGTTTAGGCAGACACGATACCTAGGGTAAGAACAGGGAACGATACTTGGGCTAAGAGCAAGATTCGATACCCGGGATGAAATGCATGACACGATCCCTGGATAAGAGGATGAGTTATCACTTTCGTATTATCTGTCCATATTATTATTTTTTATATATATTCTAGAGTTTGGTTTTACGTTTAACGTTTTGCAAATCTATTTTTGTCTACACATAATTAAAATTAATTGAAAGCTTGATGACATTCTATACGTCGTTTTAAATCACATGTTGAATTAAAAAAAAACATTAAAACATATTCCCATCAATGTCATGTTTATTCACGGGCGTGGTAAAAAGTGTGGAGAAATAGGTGTTGCCAACATCACATAACACAACAGCTTCAGTTCAATATGTATGATGTTTAGTTCAAAACATAACGATGTGCCACGTTTAACGCTTTTTCTGTTCTTCATTAAGTACATAATGACTATCTCGACAAGGGAGGGGACGACAGCACGACGTAAACATGTAAACTATTGAGAAAACAACGCTGTAACACCTATCCACCTATCTTACCAAGCTATCTAGCATTTGACCATTATGCTATTATCCTACACAGCTATCCTACCCAGCCATCCAGCCCTTTTGCCACTATCCCCTTATCCTATCAAGGCACCTATAACTTGACCACTATCCTGCTATCCTACCCAGGCATCGTGCTGCTGACCACTATCCCATCCTACTAAGGCACCTAGAACTTGACCACTATCCTCTTATCCTACCAAGGCATATTGACCACTATCCTGCTATCCTACCCAGGTATCCAGCCGCTGACCACTATCCAATCCTACCAAGGCACCTAGATCTTGACCGCTATCCAGCTATCCTACCCAGGCATCCAGCCGCTGACCACTATCCAATCCTACCAAGGCACCTAGATCTTGACCACTATCCAGCTATCCTACCCAGGCATCCAGCCGCTGACCACTATCCAATCCTACCAAGGTAAATTGACCAGTATCCTGATACCTGATATCCTACTCAGGCATCAGCTGTCGACCATTATCCTACTATCCCACCTGTCTATCCTACCAGGCACCCAACCTTACCTAGGGGAACAACACAAAACTTATGCACAACCCTCGTAGTTCATCTGACGTAATCTCTTCTCTTCATTTTACCATTTCCTGTATTTTACGTCGTCGTTAATTAATCTAATTAAGCTGGGTAGATGGGGAAAGGATGTGGGGAGAGGGAATTCCTGTCTTAATGAAATCACTTCATTAAACTATTAACTCTTATTTACCATCGAACATTTTCGCTATAACACTCGCTAATTTAAATGTTGGAACATGAAATAAAATGGAAATTCAAAAAACACTGAAACACAATAGATATTTTCATTGTTTGGATGTTCGCTTTTTGTTAATTGATTAAGAGAACATAATCTACACAGAATAAAACTTGTTCAAAAAAATTAATTATTAAGAACATTAAATATAAATATATAAGGCTACTTTAAAGCGTATATAAAAATCGTATTAATTGAATAAAAAAAAAACAAGTTGGGTTAGATTTAGCTTCTAATGTTAATGTTTATTTTTAAATTCGATTTTTATAAATACGGAATGACAAAAAGGCAGAAATGTGTTTGTTTAATAGCTTTTTTAGAGTCGGTTTTAGGGCCGAGACTGATGTAATAATACTGGCAATTTAGATACACCAACGCACACAAGCAGTGCGATTTTTCTCCGGGTACGGGAGGGGGTTGCAGATGAAATGTTTGGGGGTTGTGTGGTAAAATTTCAGGGGGGGGAGCTATTTAATAAAATATATTTTCTATAAAGATATGTAGCTTGATTTTTTTTTATTTCGTCCAGGGGCGGGAGGGGAAAGTGAATCTCTTCTCCCCCCCCCACTCCCCCCTCCCCCCTTCGAAGAGATGCCTGAAAGAAATGTCCACATTTTTTGCATCCCCCCCTCTCAAATTTTTCTCTATATATGTTACTATTTTTTGCCTTGGTGTCACCCCCCTAAATGGTGTCACCCGGTGCGGTCCGCACCCCCGCACCCCCCCCCTCGCTACGCCTCTGTCCACAACAACCAACTTCCCTCTCACCTGAGTTGATCTGCTCATCGGTCAGCATGACCGTCTCGTCCACCGAGGACTGGGCCAGGTACGTGATGCCCGTCACCAGCCCCACCGTGGCCGGGATGGCGAACCAGATGAACCCCGCCAGCAGGAAGCCCACCGCCCCCTGGAGGGGCTTGGCCGCGATCCGGCTCTGCCAGCTGGCTTGGTCGCAGTAGGTGATGCTTGAGACTAAAAATAGACCTGGGGAAATAGGGCATGGTTGTTACTAAAAATAGACCTGGGAAAATAGGGCATGGTTGTTACTAAAAATAGATCTGGGGAAAATAGGGCATGGTTGTTACTAAAAATAGATCTGGGGAAAAATAGGGCATGGTTATTACTAAAAATAGACCTGGAAAAAATAGGGCATGGTTGTTACTAAAAATAGATATGGGAAAATACGACGTTTGTTACAAAAAATAGATCATGGAAAATAGGACATGTTTGATATTAAAAAAGACATGTGAAAGTAAGATGTCCACCACTTCCACAAAATCCCCATGGCTACAATCCCCACACAGATGCCCACCCTCACATGCTGACACACACATAGTACAGAATTTTTTTTTGCCCTATCCCCACTGCTACACCCTACCATTCCCCCACCCACACTCACCCTGTACAACAAAGAGCACCGCCCTCATAAGATTACACTTCCCTTTCCCCACCCCCCACCCCCACCCTACACACACACACTCACCCTGTACATCAAAGAGCATCGCCCCCCTCCCCCCACTATCCCCCCCCCACACACACACACCCACACTCACCATGTACAGCAAAGAGCATCCCCCACTACCCCCCTCCCACACACCCACACTCACCCTGTACAGCAAAGAGCATCGCCCCCTCCGACAAAAACGTGAAGTGGCTGCCATCTTTGTTGCCAGGTACCGGCTCTGTACAGTTGACCTTGAGGTAGATTTCTTCCAATGTGCCAAATGGGGCATCGGACTGATGACATCATAGACCAAAAAAAAAAAACCAAAATATTATTTTGGCAGAAGATTTTAAAATTTATCAGACCAAACCGCTACAACGCTGGTTTTTTTTTTTATAAAAGCTTTGGCTGTAGATAGAATGGTGTTCTGATAATGTTGAAATTGTGAAAACATGTTGTGATATACTATCTGGATTGCGTTGGGACTGACAAGAAGTTCAGGTTTAAGATAGGAATTTATTTTTAAAGTCACTCAATGTGTGAATATTTAACCAAGTTTAAAAAAAATGTATCCATTCGTTTGGTCGAGGATTTAAACTGTCATTGCATCACAAGTTGAAATGTCATTATAAAAGCAAGTACATTATAAAATAAATTACACCTACGCTATTAAGTAAGTTAAACTTTTATTATAAAACACTATAAAATCTCTTCAATCTTCACTATAATACGTAAAACCTACACTATAAAACACGTAAAACCTACACTTGCTAAACTTGCAATATAAAACAAGTTAAATATACTAGAACCAAGTTAATCTATGATATAAAACAAGTTTAACTTACACAAATTCAGCTCACAAAAAAGACAAGTTTAAACTTCGATATAAAACAAATTAAATTGACAGTATAAATCAAGTTAAACCTACAGCATAAAACGTGTTAAACCCACACTATAAAACGTGTTAAACCTACAGTATAAAACGTGTTAAACCTACACTATAAAACGTGTTAAACCTACACAATAAAAAGGTGTTAAATCTACACTATAAAACGCGTTAAACCTACACTATAAAACGTGTTAAACCTACACAATAAAAAGGTGTTAAATCTACACTATAAAACGTGTTAAACCTACACTATAAAACGTGTTCAACCTACACTATAAAACATGTTACATCTACACTATAAAACGTGTTCAACCTACACTATAAACGTGTTAAACCTAAACTATAAAACGTGTTAAACTTACACTATAAAACGTGTTAAACCTACACTATAAAACGTGTTAAACCTACACTATAAAACGTGTTAAAACTACACTATAAAACGTGTTAAACCTACACTATAAAGCGTGTAAAACCTACACTATAAACGTGTTAAACCTACACTATAAAAGTGTTAAATATACACTATAAAACGTGTAAAACCTACACTATAAACGTGTTAAACCCACACTATAAAACGTGTTAAACCTACCCTATAAAACATGTTAAACTCACACTATAAAACATGTTAAACCTACACTATAAAACGTGTTAAACCCACACTATAAAACGTGTTAAACCTATCCTATAAAACATGTTAAACTCACACTATAAAACGTGTTAAACCTACACTATAAAACGTGTTAAACCCACACTATAAAACAAGTTAAACATACACTATAAAAAGTGTAAAACTTACAGTATAAAAAACACTTATGACCAGAATAGTAAGCACCAGACAGGTTGTTAGAGCGTTAAAGTAACTGACGTAGAAGGTCGAGCCCAGCCCACCAATGAATGAGTAGCTCCCACACAGTATAGCCAGGATTAGAACACTGAACTCTGGTGTGGCGTCTTTCACCGTCATCTACATTGATATACATAAGTAAAGTTTCGTTTTTCACAGTCATCTACATTGATATAGGCTACATAGGTAAAGTTTCGTTTTTCACAGTCATCTACATTGATATAGGCTACATAGGTAAAGTTTCGTTTTTCATAGTCATCTACATTGATATACATAAGTAAAGTTTCGTTTTTCACAGTCATCTACATTGATTTACATAAGTAAAGTTTCGTTTTTCACCGTCTTCTACATTGATATACATAAGTAAAGTTTCGTTTTTCACCGTCATCTACATTGATATACATAAGTAAAGTTTCGTTTTTCACCGTCATCTACATTGATATACATAAGTAAAGTTTCGTTTTTCACTGTCATCTACATTGATATACATAAGTAAAGTTTTGTTTTTCACCGTCATCTACATTGATATACATAAGTAAAGTTTCGTTTTTCACCATCTTCTACATTGATATACATAAGTAAAGTTTCGTTTTTCACCGTCATCTACATTGATATACATAAGTAAAGTTTCGTTTTTCACCGTCATCTACATTGATATACATAAGTAAAGTTTCGTCTTTCATCGTCATCTACTTTGATATACATAGGTGAAGTTTCGTTTTTCACAGTCATCTACATTGATATACATAAGTAAAGTTTACATTTCTTCGTCATTTAGATGTAAGTACTAACACATAGGTCAGAGCCTAATACAACAAGTACTCATACTTAGGACAGCATCCAACACAACAAGTACTCACACTTAAAGCAGCGATGCCCCAAAAACAACAAGTACTCACAATTAGACAGCGATACCCCAACACAACAAGTACTCACACTTAAGACAGCGCCAGACACAACAAGTACTCACACTTAAGACAGCACCCAACACAACAAGTACTCACACTTAAGACAGCGATGCCCCCAACACAACAAGTACTCACACTTAAGACAGCGATGCCCCCAACACAACAAGTACTCACACTTAAGGCAGCGATGCCCCCAACACAACAAATACTCACACTTAAGACACCACCCAACACAACAAGTACTCACACTTAAGGCAGCGATGCCCCCAAAACAACAAGTACTCACACTTAAGACAGCGATGCCCCCAAAACAACAAGTACACACACTTAAGACAGCACCCAACACAACAAGTACTCACACTTAAGACAGCACCCAACACAACAAGTACTCACACTTAAGGCAGCGATGCCCCCAAAACAACAAGTACTCACACTTAAGACAGCGATGCCCCCAACAAAACAAGTACTCACACTTAAGGCAGCGATGCCCCAACACAACAAGTACTCACACTTAAGACAGCGATGCCCCCAAAACAACAAATACTCACACTTAAGACAGCGATGCCCCCAACTAAGATGGAGGTGAGTACGATGATGTTTACAAGCAAAGCGAACACACAAAATATGCTGTGGGCGGGGCGTCCAAACCTAGCTAGGATAATCTGTTGAGCAGAGAAAATACACTAAGGTTATACACAAGATATGGTCTAATGGTAGAACTAACGACAACAAACCCGTTATCTTAGAGTTCGGACTCGAGTCTTTTAGACGTCTCTGAGTCTATCCAGCCCTGATGGGAAACTAACTCAAGTTGGGTAAAATTAAGCATGCTGGTTATAGAGCTGATGTCATTGTAACAAACGAACTCTACTTCGTCTGCCCCATGAAAATATACAAGATCACAAGCAATACAAAGGTGAGGTTACTGTGTTCATTGACAAAAACAATTTCAATACATCGTTATATTCAATATAGGCTTACTTAAATAAATGTCTAATTAGATTATAAACTAATCAACACTATCCTTTCATTTTCAGAGGTCACAGAAACAGACGGATTCTATATCATCCTAACCATGGACTAAGTCCGACAGAGTAACTTTTAGATTAAAAATAAGATATTATTGCGTTGTCATCGGAAATTATTTTAACTTGTTAAAAATTCCTAGAACATTGTGAAACTATCTTTGTCACAAATCCACCCACCCTGAGTCAGACTTTCGGGCTTTGTAACAATGTATAAGCTTGTAAAAAAAACTTTACAAAAATTAAAAAAAAAAACAACTATATTTGTTCCTTGTCTTTTGAACATCTACATTTATAACTTCCCGGCTGAACTCAATAGTCGAGATTCAAGCGTAAGAAACTAACATTTTATTTTTAACTCCCTCTATGACTCAGCTTCATCGGTTCATACCGATAAGAAAAACAATTTCAAACTATTTACATTTTACTGTAAAAACACTGACAGTTAACGCTCACAGTAAAGCTGGGAGGAGTAGGCATTTGGTGTAGGAACTGACACAATCAGAGAAAAACAAAAAAAACAAATCACATTATCTCGATCAATTTTTTTTTCTCTCCCTACAGGATGTTTGGTTCTCGTTTGGAAATGTTTGTGCCTGGACAGATAAAAGACGGGGTTACCTGTAAATACGTCTTGGCCCCAGGTGCACGCGTCTTAAATTTGAAAGACAGCAGCGGAAACAATGAGAGATTAATCAAGACGGAGGAACAGTACCAGAACACCCCGGCGATACCATACTGTGGACACAACCAAACGTTACCTGGATATATATATATATATATATATATATATATATATATATATATATATATATATATATATATATATATATATATATATATATATATATATATATATATATATATATATATATATATATATATATATATATATATGTCTATTTATGTATATGTGTGTGTGTTTGTTTCATGTGTGTATATATTTCAATGTGTATAACTGCCTTTATGTGCATTGGATAATGTATATAGTCATATAGACATATAGCATGTGTTCGTGCACATTGCAACATGTGTATGTGCATATTGGAATGTCCATTGATTCTTTATTAGAAAAGAGAGATCTGTGTCTATGTGTGTGTATGTGTGTTTCTGCTGTATATATATATATATATATATATATATATATATATATATATATATATATATATATATATATATATATATATATATATATATAGGCCTATATATATATACATATATACACATACATTTATATAAATGAATTGACAAGTTATATAATTGCTGCTATATTTGACTCAACTGTAAGATATGGTCACTCAATAAACACAAGTTTTTTGTAAACATGAGAGATGATCAGATCATGAGAGTACTGGTCACTGACCTTGACCGCTATGGTGGCACTCTGCATCAAGTCCGCTGGCCAGAGCAGCTGGGCGGCGATGGTCACCGCGGTCAGCGAGGCGGAGACGTTGCCCCCGGCGTCGAAGGAGGAGTCGAGATTGTTGAAGTCATCGAACACGTGACGCCTGTGGGGGGGGGGGGGAGGGGGGAAGTGTGTGTTACTGTAACGTTTACTTATATCTAACTCCGTGTATTGTCTCTGTGGGGGGTGGGGGAGGGTGGCAGTTAACACCAACAGATACAAATGACAACAGAAATGGCTGTACGCTTAAAGTATTGAATGCAATGAAGCAGGCACAAATAGGAGAGTTCAGGGACTTTATGGCCCAGCGGTAGAGCACAGGAGTTTCGGACTGTCTGACACCAGTTCGATATCAGGGTCACACACGCCTGTCAAATATGCCAAATGTTCACCCCCTGTCACCCCATGCCAGCCACCCCAAATGCCAACCCCTGCCACCCATTCCAACTGCCACCACCTGCCACCCGCCCCAACTGTCATCCCCTGCCACCCCCTGCCGCCCCCTGCCACCACCTGCCAGCCACCCCAACTGCCACCACCTGCCACCCACCCCAACTGTCATCCCCTGCCACCCCCTGCCGCCCCCTGCCAGCCACCCCAACTGCCACCACCTGCCACCCACCCCAACTGCCATCCCCTGCCACCCACTGCCGCCCCCTGCCACCACCTGCCAGCCACCCCAACTGCCACCACCTGCCACCCACCCCAACTGTCATCCCCTGCCACCCCATGCCGCCCCCTGCCAGCCACCCCAACTGTCACCACCTGCCACCCACCCCAACTGTCATCCCCTGCCACCCCATGCCGCCCCCTGCCAGCCACCCCAACTGTCACCACCTGCCACCCACCCCAACTGTCATCACCTGCCACCCACTGCCACCCCCTGCCGCCCCCTGCCAGCCACCCCAACTGCCACCACCTGCCACCCACCCCAACTGTCATCCCCTGCCACCCACTGCCGCCCCCTGCCACCACCTGCCAGCCACCCCAACTGCCACCACCTGCCACCCACCCCAACTGTCATCCCCTGCCACCCCCCTGCCAGCCACCCCAACTGCCACCACCTGCCACCCACCCCAACTGTCATCCCCTGCCACCCACTGCCGCCCCCTGCCACCACCTGCCAGCCACTCCAACTGCCACCACCTGCCACCCACCCCAACTGTCATCCCCTGCCACCCCCCTGCCGCCCCCTGCCAGCCACCCCAACTGCCACCACCTGCCACCCACCCCAACTGTCATCCCCTGCCACCCACTGCCGCCCCCTGCCACCACCTGCCAGCCACCCCAACTGCCACCACCTGCCACCCACCCCAACTGTCATCCCCTGCCGCCCCCTGCCACCACCTGCCAGGCAACCCAACTGCCACAACCTGCCACCCACCCCAACTGTCATCCCCTGCCACCCCCCTGCCGCCCCCTGCCACCACCTCCCAGCCACCCCAACTGCCACCACCTGCCACCCACCCCAACTGTCATCCCCTGCCGCCCCCTGCAACCTCCTGCCAGCCAACCCAACTGCCACCACCTGCCACCCACCCCAACTGTCATCCCCTGCCACCCCCTGCCGCCCCCTGCCACCACCTGCCAGCCACCCCAACTGCCACCACCTGCCACCCACCTCAACTGTCATCCCCTGCCACCCCCCTGCCACCCAACCCAACTGCCATCCCTTCCAACCCCTGCCACCAACGCCACCCCACCACCCCAGTCTTGGTACACAGCGCAGGATGGGTCGTGGGGAAACTTGGTGGGTTTCTAGGGGTCCCAATATGGCCACTTGTTCTGTTCTCAGCCGTGCCGCTCTATATTTCCCTACTGGGTACTGCCAGGCGCCAGGTACACAGAGCGGTGCATGAAGGGGGGGGAGGGGGGGGGGGGGTCAGTTGATGAAAGCTTAATTGTGTTGTGTTTACGTTTCAATACGTATCACAGTTCAACAAAACAGAAATTTGGTTTCATCAAAAAATAATTTGGATAGCTGCCAAGAATGTACGAAGGATATGTGCAGATAATAATAGTCTATTTGTTCACCCCATAAAAACATAAAGAAGGGCACAACGTTAAAAGAACATATAATTTTTTTTTAAAAGAGCATTGACATGCTTTCTTTATTGGTACATAAAAAGGTATATTTTACGGCTACATTACATTACCACCACCACCCCCCCCCCCCCGTCAATTAAAACCCGGAATTTTCTCCGGTATTTACCCCCCGGCGCAATTACCCCTGTCAATTACCCCCTGTCAATTACCCCCTGTCAATTACCACCCCCCCGGACATTTACCCCCGTATTTAATCCTGGAGCAAATATTCCCTGTCAACTACCCCCCCCCCGTCAATTACCCCCCTCTCAACTACCCCTGTCCATTAGGAGCCCCCCCCCCCCCCGGACACAATTTAAGGTACTGTTAGGGTTAGGGTTAAAGAGGGTAATGTTGGGGGGGAGGGAATGTCCGGGGGGGGGGGGTAATTGACGGGGGTGGTATTGCCCTGTTCCCTATCTTACATAGCATTAATTAGTTTACTATATTACATGTAAGAGTATGTAACCATTGATGACATCGCCTTACCTTATCAGAACATAGACAACAGCGAGTATAACAGAAAGCCCACCAAAGCCCACAAGCAACAACAAAAGTGCCTCGTTCTTCTCAAGGACCGTCTGGATTTCTCTGGGAAATGGTGGTTTGGATTAAAAGTAGATGGTTTCGAGTAACACGTTTCAATTAAAAAGTTCTATAGGTTTTTTATTGTATAAATACTTTCATATGCAAATGTATTGAAATATATACACAATATATATTGAAATATATATATACACACACATATATATATATATATATATATATATATATATATATATATATATATATATATATATATATATATATATATATATATATATATATATATATATATATTAATATATATATATATATATATATATATATATATATATATATATATATATATATATATATATATATATATATATATATATATATATTAATATATATATATATATATATATATATATATATATATATATATATATATATATATATATATATATATATATATATATATATATATATATATATATATATATATATATATATATATATATATATATATATATATATATATATATATATTGTTAAATATTTCGCGTTTAGGTATACTGTTTTTTCTTATATCTTTAACCGGTTTTAGTTTTCCTATTTCTTTAATCGGTTTTGGTTTTTATTTCTTTAATCCGTTTTAGTTAAGCCTAATTGTTACCCATAAGAAATGTGTATATAAACATAATCCTAACTGTATGACCTACGTTGGTTTTGATCCTTTCTGCCGGCTGACGTTGTGACACCGCACTCCATCACCAACAACTGACCGCACAGCAGCCGTCAGAATGATTAGTGTGATGACCAACGATGCCGCTGATTTTCCGAGGTTGGCCATCCTCCTTAGGCCACCATGTTCCTCCTAGGCCACGCTGTTCTTCAAAGTCGCCCGTCCCATCATTGTGACGTCATCCCTTTGTCGCCAGATCAAGACGCTGAAAAATAAAAAATTATGGATGTAATAAAACATGTATTTTAAAAACATGTATGTTAACTAGCATTATTAATGCGTTAAACGTTAAAAAATTAGACATTTTTCGTTCTTCAACTATACGTATAAAAGCGTTTGTCACTTAACAGTGTAGATCTATAAAGTATCTCTTCAAAACTCACTATTTTCGGAAATATTAGTTCAAAAAAGCAATTATCTGCCCAGAGGCGTAGCGATGGGGGGTGGGGGGGGGGGCAGGGGGGGACATATGTCCCCGGGCGCCGACCTTAGGGGGCGCCAAAATGGGTTTGAAAAAGTAATCGAAAGTTTGAGAGGGGGGGTGCTAATCGAAAGTTTCTACCCGGGCACCGGGACGGGTCGCTACGCCTCTGTATCTGCCCTTTACTAGCGACAGTTGTTGGCATTTTAAAAATCTGACTTGATTGTTGAAAGCAGATCTTGAATTAAATAAATGGGCTCTTATTGTAAACCTTATCTTTAAAGATCAAAAGCGAGTTCGCTTGACAACATTAGGAACAAAATACATACACATTGTTTTATGAAGTGTGTCTAAAGTTTTGTTCTAGAAATATAATATACAGGATTAAAAATCTCTACTCTTTTCTTAAACAGGGTTCAATGTTTCTACACTTTTCTTGAACAGGGTTCAAATTTTCTACACTTTTCTGTAACAAGGTTCAATGTTTCTACACTTTTCTTAAACAGGGTTCAAAGTTTCTACACTTTTCTGTAACAGGGTTTAATGTTTCTACACTTTTCTTAAACAGGGTTTAATAATTCTACACTTTTCTTAAACAGGGTTTAATGTTTCTACACTTTTCTTAAACAGGGTTCAAAGTTTCTACACTTTTCTGTAACAGGGTTTAATGTTTCTACACTTTTCTTAAACAGGGTTCAATGTTTCTACACTTTTCTTAAACAGGGTTTAATGTTTCTACACTTTTCTTAAACAGGGTTCAAAGTTTCTACACTTTTCTGTAACAGGGTTTAATGTTTCTATATTTTGATTATTTTTAAAACAGAATACAAGTATCAAGACATCACCCGGAATATTGTTGTTTTTTTTAATGAGTTGAAGAAGTAAGGTCAGAAAATTCAACTTAGGGTTAGTCAAAGAATATGGATGGACTCTACCGATGTAATAAATTATGCCGTAAAGTGTGTAGGGGGGGGGGGGGGGGGGTAAACAAAAATCCTTTTGTGTTCGCGATATCATAAAATACTGCAAGACGAGTTATCTCCAGTTGTGGACGATCACGCTATTTAATTAATCAGGGGAGATAATCGTTATCTAATGAGCAACCGATTGGATATATTCAATAATTACAGAGGGGTAAGGGATACATTGTGGTTTCTCATTATTTTAAGTTAATAAAATACTTGACAAAATTAATCGACAATTATTTTTTACTAACATAAAAGAATCTTTTTTAAATTGCTTTTAAAAGCTTTGTCATGCCTAGTATTTTTATATTTTTTGTGTCTTTCTTATAATGGTTTTTTATCCCCTGATAATTTATTAGGTCTGTTAGTGATCTTGTATCTACTTTTAACTACTTTTGGCTTCAAAATCCTTTGCAATTTTTTTTTATAATCAAATACATGACATCATGTAAATATTCATTATGTACATTTTCAAAACCTTTCGTTTTCATTTGGTGTTCAAAATTATGTTAAAAAATTTGATGTTGATGTACTTGTTTTAATTGCAAATAAAAATATTTAAAAAAAAAAAAAAAATTATGGTAAATAAAACCACGTTTGTATTTCTTTATTTCTGGTTATCTTCATTTGAATTTTTGATCTCTTTTTAGTAATGTTCCCCATTTTGTTCATGTAATGATATTTTTTGTTAATGTTTGAACTATGTTAAATACACACTATGTTAAGCACACACACACATTTGTATATGTTGATGTAATTTATTTGAAAATAAAGATTAAAAAAAAAAAAAAAAAAAAAAAAAAAACTACTTTTGGCTTGACAAATACAGTTATGAGGCTTATAGAGAAAAGGTCAAGTCAGGATAAGATAATCATGGTGGTTTGTATGGTCAAATGCTGTATAGTTATGTACCTTGTATGGAAATATTTCACATGAAGTTCATCGTAACTACAAAAATTTGTATTCATCTACAAAAATTGTGTGTTTTAGTCATTTGAATTGAGAAAGGTTGTAGATAATAAATTTGTATAATTAACAAGAGCTGACAATGCAGAATTTGATAGTAAAAATATATATCAACAGATATAGCCTACCTTTATCTTGCATTAAATTTCATGGTTTGCAGGTCTAAATTATGTCTTGCTAATGTCAACTATTAAAATACTTTTTATGACCCTATGAATGATGAATATTGTGTGTTTAAGTCTGGTGTGATAAGACAGAATTTTGTTTGCAAGATTTAAATAATTATATCAAAAGAATCAATCTATAACTAAAGTAATTTTCTAATATAGCTTATCTCTCATTTTTACAAGTTGAAGTTTTTGAGCTTGATAGTTCCATTTGGTAACTTGATAAATCCTGAACTCTTAATTGTGAAGAGTTCCTAGAAGTTCTCCATCACCACTTTTGCCCTGCTAATCATTCCATAGCAGTCACCATACATACACCAAATGTTCAAACTAAATTGTAAATAACTGAAACTAGCTGTAAATATTTTGCAGTGTTGAGTGTGGCTGTGAAGTTCTCCATCACCACTTTTGCCCTGCTAATTATTCCATAGCAGTCACCATACATACACCAAATGTTCAAACTAAATTGTAAATAACTGAAACTAGCTGTAAATATTTTGCAGTGTTGAGTGTGGCTGTGAGCACAAGGCTGTTTGATAGTTTTGTCCTGTAACTGTTCTCCCTACCCCTTGAAAAAATTTATTTATATTGCAATCTTATTTAAATGAGAATATTTTTTTTAATGCCTAGTCCTACCTTAACATGTCCAGCCAAAGTTATTCATACATTAAAACACAACTTGTATGTCATAATTGTAAGATCCTAATATATAATTCCCCATGTGCGCACTTCTCTCTGTCCGCAAAATATTTTCGCCGGACATCACGTCAGAATCGGCAGCGATATATGAAGAACTTTTTACGGACTTTTATTGAAAAAAATATGTTAGATGTTTTAAATGTATAACCACAAAATTATTTAAAGAAGAAAAATAAAAAATAAAGGCGTATTCGAATGTAGAGAAACAGTATTATTTATGCAACCGGAAAAGTGTATAAACTTGAGACAAGAACGCATTTAACAATGACGTCGCTTATTGTTTACACTAAAAAAAAAGAGCACGAAACTGATGATGTCATCTTCCGAGTTTAGAATAAAAAGAAATGAACTATTTCATTCAAATATGATTTAGAGCTATGTACGCTATGAAATGTATACAATACGATTTTCTCGGCCTAAACTTAAAAAAATTATTTTATCTATTTGGATTCTAGATCTAGAGATTCTAGACCTAGATATTGATCTCGATCTAGATATTCTAGATCATCTAGATCTAGAGATTCTAGATCTAGATCTAGATGATCTATAAAGCTAAGTTGTCGGGTGCCCGATAGGGCACTTCCCGGCGCCGCAGGCGCTTCAAATTTGGCAGGATCTTGCCTTGGGGCGACAGAACACGGGGGCCGGTTGGCCAAAAAGTCTACGATGAGGGGGTCAAAACTGACCTCGACTGACCAGCGCCTTATATGGGCGAATTAATTAAGCATTCAAATTCTCAATGTTTTCGAAAGCCTAAGCGAAGCTGGGCAGCATGCCTAGTGGTATATAAAGGGCTATTTTTCCCCCTAGGAGTACTCAAATTTTATATATAAAACAGAATAGTGTTCTTGTATGTATTGATCACTATTCAGAGAATTCACCATGCTCTTGCAATATTTTGATGTTTAATCTGGCCAAATTCTAAGTAAAATCTGAATATAGAACAAACTTTCTCATCCACATTAAAGATCACTTGGTCTTCATGATTATACCTTAATTAATAAGTATAAAATAAGTTAATATAATGTTTATTTGTTTTATGCATAAACTATGCTTTTTTGTATTTAATCTAAAAAAATGTATAAAAAATGGTTGTTTTGTCAATGATAATATGAAGGTTTTGAAAGATAATTTGTTTTTATGCTTGAAATTGATGAGAATTTTTTTGTTTAATGAGTGTCCGGTTAATTTGTTTCTGTGGGAATGGGTTAAGTGTTGTAACATTGTTACCTTTAACAAATTGTGTAGATAAAAATGTTCATCATGTTTAAAATTATTTCTTAAATCTATGTATTCACTCGTGTTTCAAGGAAATTTTTATTTTGAATGTTTCCCTCCCCTTCCCCGAATGTTTTTTTATGCAGTGGCATTTTTTAAAAATGCATACTAGTACTCAATTTAATTTTTTTAAGTTTCAGAACTCCTTCCCTGTGTAATTGAGTCAAATTTTTAACTTCATTTTAAAAATACAGATGAACAATAAAGTATTAAAAAATATATATAACTTTTCCGATTGCTTAAAATTTGTATAATTTTAATTCTCAGGTATCCCAATTTTTTTTTCAGCTCTACTAAAAAACCCAATAAAGCGAACACACAACTGACGCTATAAATTACGTGTTTGAGGCAAAAAATAAGAAAAATGAAAAGAATAAAAAAAAAAAAAAAAAAAAAAAAACTATAAAGTGAATAAAAAAATTAAAAAATTAAAAATAAATAAAATAACAATTGTTTGAGGACTGTATAGATATAGATGTTTGAAAGGGATGACTGTTTGCTTTGATGTGTCTCGTTGTAATAACATAACTTTTCCGATTGCTTAAAATTTGTATCATTTTAATTCTCTGTAATCACAAATTTATTTCAGCTCTACTTAAAAACCCAAATTCCACCCCGTCCCCCCCCGCCTCACCCACCACGCCGAGGGGAAAAAATCCCTTGAATCATCATTTAATTACACATTTGCATTTTCAGTTTCAGGTTGGTT